GGTGGGAGGACACGGCTATTATTCCCGATGGAGAGATGAACTGGCTCCAAGGTGACCTGCCTGGCAATGGAATATCGGAATCGAGCCAGCCCTCTGTGTCAATCTCTCGTCCAGTTCCTGAGCCAGGCGGATCCGCGGTATTCCAGGGCACTGCTGATAACAGTGCAGCACCTGGGGGCAGGGATTCCTCCTCCTCAACTCCTGTTAACCCCGCAGCCAAAGCCCTAACAGGGAGGGTGGTCCTAGCTGGACAAGCAGCAGGAAAGCTTGTCAGACAGCAATATCAATGGCAAACTGTGCGGGTTTAGTTTTAGGGTGAAGGATTTCATGATCCTCTCACTCAATTTCAAATCCCTTCATGTCCTGGTACCTCCCTATCTCTCTGACCTGCTTATAGAAACACAGAATCATAGAATCGTACAACACAAAAAGAGGCCATTCGGCCCATCGAGTCTGTGCGGCTCTTTGAATAGAGCAATGTAATGTCAATCCCACTCCCCGGCCCTTTCCCCATAACCTGCAAACCCGTCCTCCTCAAATACCCGTCCACCGCGTTTTTAAAAGTAGTTTGGTTAATCATCACCTCCTGACTCTTGTACTCTATGCCCCTATTTATAAAGCCTCATATCCCATTTGCCCTTTTTACAGCTTTATCTCCCTGTCCTGCCACCTTCAAGGATTTGTTTACCTGCATCCCCAGGTCTCTCGGTCCTTTTACCCCCTCAAGGTTGTATTACCGCCTATATTGCCGCCCCTCATTCTTTCTACCAAAATGCATTCCTTCGCATTTCTCCACATTGGCACTCATCTGCCATGTGTCGCCCATTTTATCATTCTACCTATGTCTTCCTGCAGTCGGCTCCTATCCTTCTCACTGTTTATCTCCTCCCTAACTTTGTGTCGTCCGCAAACTTGGAAATGGTACTTGCTATACCCAAGTCCAGATCATTTATGCCCCAACCCACAACCCGCTGCCCTCACTCGACTGGCTCCGGCATCCTCCGTTCCACCACCAGTAGCCGCACTTTCAGCCACTACATCCCGAAACTCTGGAACACTCTCTCGCTATCCCTCCACCTTGCTCCTTCCTTCCCCATTTTCAGGTCGCGCCTGAAGACGCTACGACCAGCTACCCCTGCTCCCGGAGTTGTCGGAGTTGTGTCTACCACTGTCAAGCACTCTGGGACACTATCCTGTGTGAGTGGCGCTGGGTAAATGCAAGTTGTTGTTGTTGCTCTTGTGTTATTATTGTTGCTGTTATTGTTGCTGTTGTGTTATTATTGCTGTTGTGTTGTTGTTGTTGCTGTAAGCATCCTCTCATGGTGTGTGTCAGCTTGGCAGAGCACAAACACCTGAAATATAATATGGTATCTCGGAATCCTTTGTAACTCTCTCCATGTCTGGAGAGTGTGGGAATGGCTGGAGCCCAGGTGTTGGCAGTGTAAAGTGATGAGCTGAGGGTTATTATTGAAGTGGAAAGCCTAAGGTTGACCTGTATCTCATTCCTATTGATAACCTGTCATTTCCTGCCCTCGGAAACCTGGCAATTTACATTTTCCGAGCATCTCATTCAAATTAGGTTCTAAACAGAAACATGATTCAGGAACAGGGCTGTGCTCACATGCAAAGTACTCCCTACACTCCCAATACTGCCAGCACAGCAACAACACAGGGACTCCAACAGGGAAGGGAGGGAGGGAGGGGAATCTGCAAGCGCGGGGGGATGGGTATAGAACACAAGCTGAGTGGGTGGGCATATGTTCAAGGCGCCGGATCTTTGTTCAGCTGGACATTAAAGATCCCACAACGCTATTTGGAAACAACAACAACAACAGGATTCTATTTATAGAGCACCTTTCACGTCGGGAGGACGTCCCAAGGCGCTGGACAGTTGGGTCAGGACCCGAGCAGAGGGGAAATGGTCAGGGTGAGGGGAGGGAAGGGAGGGAGAAAGGAGGGGATAGAGAGTCGAGAGGGGAGCTGAAGGCTCGGTCAAAGAGAAAGGTCTTGAGACCGGCATTGAAGGAGGAAAGGGAGGAAGTGGCGAAGGCACTGGGGGATAGAGTTCCAGAGCCTCGGGGCTGAGAGGCTGAAGGCCACCGATGGTAGGGCGGTTGGGGCGGGGGATGTGGAGCAGACCGGAGCCAGAGGAACGGAGGGTACGGGCAGGTAAGTAGGGGGATAGTAGGTCGGAGAGGTAGGAGGGAGCGAGGCCGTGAATGGCCTTGTAGGTGAGGATGAGGATCTTGAATTCGATCTTGCCCAACATTTTGCCCTGCCCGGGAATCGAATCCAGGTCTCTCGCTTGTGAGGCGAGAGTTCTAACCACTGAGCTACAGGACTCCACAAAGAGTTGCATAAAGTGATGGGAGGGGTATATGGGATGGATGAGGAAAGATTATTTCCAGTGGTCAGGGCTGGGGGAGAGCTTTCTCACACAGAGCGTGAGGGGTGAGCGTGTGGGAATTGCTGCCCAGTTAGTGGTTGGGGCGGCACATAGGAATGAGATACAGGTCAACCTCAGGCTTTCCACTTCAATAATAACCCTCAGCTCATCACTTTACACTGCCAACACCTGGGCTCCAGCCATTCCCACAAGACTGGACACACGGGTAAGAGAGAAGATGGGAAAAGCCAGGATGTGCAAATAGTGATAGGATCTAGGAGGGGTCTGGGACAGTCATGTGGAGTATAAACACTGTCCAGAATGGATGGGCCTGTTTCTGAGCTGGCCTGTACCTTCTGTGAATCAGCAACAACAAAATTACATTTATATAGCGCATTTCACGTCCAACTTGCATTTACACAGCCCTCTTCATGTGGGGTATCATCCCAGAGCGCTTGACAGTGGCAGACTCTTACCCCGAGCCAAGGGGAGGGGGAGGTGACCATAAGCACCAAAACAAAGGAAGGTATTTGGGCAGGATTTGAAAGTGAGGGAGGGGGCAAGGCGCAGGGGCTGAGGGGGAGAGTTCCAGAGTTTCAGGGCGTAGGGGCTGAAGACACATCCACCAATGGTAGAGTAGAGGGGTTGAGGGACAAATCAAGAATTCACTGAATTCAGGTCTGTTTGTGGGATGTTACTGCATCCAAATTGGTTGCTGTGTTCATCTACAAATTACTCCACTGTATAGGGATTCCCTGTGAGGAGGTTTGAGATGTTTGGATGTTACAGACACTGGATCAGACACTGTGAGTCAGAGAACCCAGAATTGGGAAAATTGGTGAATTTGGTCTTCATTTTGAAGTTAGTTTTCTGTAAAAGAAATTTACAAAAAAATGGCAAAATTAAGATTATGCTAAAGATTTTGCCAAATTCTGCACCTCCTCACCTCCAGCATCTAAAACCTTCACCTCTCCTCTCCCCAACCTTCGCTCCTTTGCTCTCTCTCCATTCATCCTCCAGACAAACTCGCAGCCAGAGACTGACAGAGTGAGAGAGAATTTTTTTCCCCAGCTGGGTGTTTGACACATGTGGAAACCCATCACTGAGCTTAAGAGTATCCAAACCAAGCTGAGATTTCTGTGCATCCCACCTACACATGGAAATCCCAGAGATAGGTTGTTGGAATAATGTGCTCTCTCTCCCTGGAGGGCTACATCCTGCTTACCTAATTCCAGAAAGTATTAGGTGCAGGTTGGGCAAGAGCCAAGTATTGGGGACCCCAGAGTGTGTGTTGGGGTAACTGCTGGAGTTTAACCAGCTAAACCCACATAACTTGTCATTGATAGCGCTGTCCGGCCAGCAAATGTTCCCTTATTATTATGGATGTTCTGGAGGGTTGAGATCGGAGAGACCGAAGGGTCTTGTGATCTTGTGAATAAGCTATGAACAATGATTAGACAAGCTCAGGCTCTTCAGTGTTGAGAGAAGATGACTCAGAGACGACCTTTTAGAGAGTAAAACATTTTAAATGGGATTGAAAAAGGAAACCCAGATCATTACTTTAGGATGCAACAAAACTGTGGAACAAGAGGACAATTTCAGGTCAGACACCAGGAAGTTTCTCTTTACCTGGAAGCTAACAACTGGAACAGGGTCACCAGGAAGGGGGGGTGAGGCCAGGCTGATTGTCATATCTTGATCTTGTCAGAGACTTTTTTTGAGGGGTGACATCCCAATTGACTGCCCTCTGGAAGTGGGGTCTCCTTGGGGCTGAGCTGGCTCCAGGGTGACATGCTGCTGACAGAAGGTTTGAATTAAGTCCACCCTCTGTGGGGCTCTTGGTAGTCTTCAAGTCCTGCTGATGAGCCCTGGAATACTGTGGATCCTCGTGACTCAGGAACCGGACTCGAGACCGTCACAGAGGGGGGACTTGAGGTTAATATTCCATTGTTAAGCAGGTGACCCCAGAGTCAGCTCAGCTCCCAGGAGAACCTGCCCTCCCCCACCCCCAACCCCCGCCCAACCAGGTGACCAAGGGATGGTAGCCACCCCCAGGGTTGGTGACTGTGGGGCACTAGTCTGCACTGCAAGTCCCTGACACAGTGCTCAGCTGTGGGCAGGGCGGGCAGGGCAGGGCAGGGCGGGCAGGCAGGGCGGGCAGGGCAGGGCGGGCAGGGCGGGCAGGGCAGGGCAGGGCGGGCAGGCAGGGCGGGCAGGGCAGGGCGGGCAGGGCGGGCAGGGCAGGGCAGGGCGGGCAGGCAGGGCGGGCAGGGCAGGGCGGGCAGGGCGGGCAGGGCAGGGCAGGGCACAGCGCTCCCTGCAGGCTATGGGCTGGCACTGTGAGCAGCTGTGGGCAGGGGGCGCCCCCTGCAGGCCGGGCTGGCACTATGGGCAGGGCGCCCCCTGCAGGCTATGGGCATTGGGATAAAAAGCAGGGAACAGCAGGCAGCGCAGGGCAGAGCAGACTGGAGCCCTGACTGAGAGAGGGAGGGAGGGAGGGCTGAGAGAGAGTAGAAAAGGAGAACAGAGGGGAAGGAGAGAGAGAGAGTAGAGAGCAGAGAAGAGAGGAGGAGAGAGAGAAGGGAAGAGGAAAGCAGGAGAGCCAGAAGAGGAGAAAGAGAGGAGAGCAGAGGAGAGGAGAGCAGGATGGCAGAGAGAGAGCAGCCACCCTACCTGCACCTGGCAGAGCTGTCAGCCTCCCAGTTCCTTGAGATCTGGAAACATTATGACTCTGATGGTAAGTTATTGCTTCTCTTTCCGTTTTATTTGATTGTTTAAGAGGAAGCAACAAGGTTCAGGGTTTCATGTAAAAATCATCCTTTTAGCTTTTAGTGATAAATCATCAATGTGTTAGTTCAAGGGAAGGACTGAGGTGTGTTTAGTGTGTGTGACAGTGACTGCAGAGCTGACTGTGTGTGTCAGTGTGAGACTGGCTGGAGGCAGCAGCACTAACATTGGAAGGTTGACACTGAGTGATTAACATTGACATTGGGCAATGTGAAGTCCTGTAGCTCAGTGGTTAGAGCCCCCGCCTCGCAAGTGAGAGACCTGGGCTCGATTCCTGGGCAGAGCAAAACCTTAGGCAAGTTTCCTTCCTCCACACACCTCTGTTTACCTAACAGTAAGTAGGAACCCACTTGTTAGTCGATTGGCGGATCGCTTTTCTGAGGGTAATAAGCCCTCAAAAAAATGTGGTCAATCAATCCCCGGCTGTTTGTGGGGACGCTGCTGTCGTGGCTGCCGTGTTTCGCCCACAAAATAAACAGTCAATTCACTTTACAGTGTATCCTGTGAAGCACTTTGAGCATCTCGAAGACGTGATAAGGCGCTATATCAAATGTAAGGATCATTATTAACATTGCCTTTGGTCACTATGTGATTAACATTGAGGATTATTATAAGATATATGAAACACACAATTTAGCTTTTTTTAAATTCAGGAAAAAAAAACTTTCTGAAACGAATATTTATGCAGGAGTTTTATGTTTTACTTCTTACTGTTTGCGCCTTTGATGAATGCCTGAGGCAGTGACTGCATGAGCTTGCTGTCCCGGCTACTGCCCTGCTTCCTCACCCAGCCTCCCCACCCTGCCTGCCTGCCTCGTCTACCCAGCCCTGCCTCCCAGCCCTGCCTCCCTGCACTGCCTCCTGCTCTGCCTCCCTGCCCTGCCTCACTGCCCTGCCTCCTGCCCTGCCTCACTGTCCTGCCTTCTGCCCTGCGCTGCCTCCCTGCCCTGCCTCACTGCCCTGCCTCCTGCCCTGCGCTGCCTCCCTGCCCTGCCTCACTGCCCTGCCTCCTGCCCTGCCTCACTGTCCTGCCTTCTGCCCTGCGCTGCCTCCCTGCCCTGCCTCACTGCCCTGCCTCCTGCCCTGCCTCACTGTCCTGCCTTCTGCCCTGCGCTGCCTCCCTGCCCTGCCTCACTGCCCTGCCTCCTGCCCTGCGCTGCCTCCCTGCCCTGCCTCCTGCCCTGCCTCACTGTCCTGCCCTGCCTTGCCTCCCTGCCCTGCCTCAGTCTTTGGTGCCTATCATTGACACTTCCTGCATTGCCTCACACAGGCAATGGTTACATCGAGGGGAAAGAGTTGGAAAACTTCATCCGAGAGCTGCAGAGAGTGAGGAGAGGTGCCAAGGTGGTGAGTGCCTGTCAGTGTGAGTGTGAGCCGGGGGGGAGGGGGGTGAGTGTGAGCTGGGGGGGCTGAGTGTGAACCAGGGGCGGAGTGTGGGCCGGAGGGGAGGGGGCGGCTGAATGTGAGCCGAGGGGGGGGGGGGCGGAGTGTGAGCCGGGGAGTTAGGGGGGGGCTGAAATGTGAGCCGGGGAGTTAGGGGGGGGCTGAAATGTGAACCGGGAGGGTAGGGGTGGTGTGTGGCTGACTGTGAGAAACAGAAAGTCAGAGGTGCTGACTCCTGGTGCTGATGAGAGAGACAGAGAGAGAGAGAGGTGGTTACAAAGAAAGAGATGTTGAGAACAGGTGCTGATGAGTGAGAGAGAGACATAGAGACAAAGAGATGGCAAGACCTCAAATTGCTGTTCAGGGCGTGTCTGTGTGAGCTCTAACACTGAGGCTGTATTGTTACTACAGGTTAGAGACACAGTAACTCTCCCTCTACACTGTGTGTCCACACTCCCAGGTCAGGGTTAGAGACACAGTAACGCTCCTCTACACTGTGTGTCCACACTCCCAGGTCAGGGTTAGAGACACAGTAACGCTCCTCTACACTGTGTGTCCACACTCCCAGGTCAGGGTTAGAGACACAGTAAAGCTCCTCTACACTGTGTGTCCACACACCCAGGTCAGGGTTAGAGACACAGTAAAGCTCCTCTACACTGTGCGTCCTCACTCCCAGGTCAGGGTTAGAGACACAGTAAAGCTCCTCTACACTGTGTGTCCACACACCCAGGTCAGGGTTAGAGACACAGTAAAGCTCCTCTACACTGTGTGTCCACACTCCCAGGTCAGGGTTAGAGACACAGTAAAGCTCCTCTACACTGTGTGTCCACACTCCCAGGTCAGGGTTAGAGACACAGTAACGCTCCTCTACACTGTGCGTCCACACTGCCAGGTCAGGGTTAGAGACACAGTAACGCTCCTCTACACTGTGCGTCCACACTCCCAGGTCAGGGTTAGAGACACAGTAACGCTCCTCTACACTGTGTGTCCACACTCCCAGGTCAGGGTTAGAGACACAGTAAAGCTCCTCTACACTGTGTCCACACTCCCAGGTCAGGGTTAGAGACACCGTAACGCTCCCTCTACACTGTGCGTCCACACTCCCAGGTCAGGGTTAGAGACACAGTAAAGCTCCTCTACACTGTGCGTCCACACTCCCAGGTCAGGGTTGGAGACCATTCTGCCTTGACAATGAGAGTTCATTCTGATCTGACACCGCCCTCTTCCGGCCCAGTGTGGTAATACATAAAATAATACTTGCATTTGATACAGTGCCTTATCATGTCTTCGAGACGTCTCAAAGCGCTTCACAGGATATACTGTAGAGTGATAGACTGTATATTTTGTGGGCGAAACATGGCTGCCAATTGAGCGGAGCAGCATCCCACAAACTGTCATGGATTGAAAGCCTGAGGCGTGAGCTAGACCCCAAACAATTGTGAAATAAAAACAGAAGTGGCTGGGAACCCTGAGCAGAGCAGGCAACATCTATGGAGAGAAGGGATTTGAATGTAAGGACCCTTTCGGAGTCCCTTCTCTCCATAGATGCTGCCTGCTCTGCTGAGGGTTCCCAGCGACTTTTGTTATTGTTTCACATTTCCAATATCTGCAGTATTTTGCCTTTTATTTCCCCAAACAATTGTGTTTAAATATCTTGAGTGATACAGTAACAGACAGACTCGACCGTCTCACTCTCTCCCTGGGGTCTAATATTGCACCCACACACCAACTTAGATGATGGTTGGAGCCCCCTTCAGTGGCTGAGCTTTCAGTCACTACATCCTTATCCGCTGTAGCTGCCATGCCTTGACTCCTCAGCCTCGTCTCCTCTCTCTCTCTGTCTCTAAATTCCACCTTAAACCTACCTCTGTAGTCACCCCCTGCTCTCTCTGCCATGCGTGGGGTCCCAGGGGCTGTGTGTGTGGGGCTGTGTGTGAGGGGCCGTGCGTGTGTGAGAGGCCGTGCGTGTGTGAGAGGCCGTGCGTGTATGAGAGGCCGTGCGTGTGTAAGAGGCCGTGCGTGAGGGGCCGTGCGTGAGGGGCTGTCCAGTGCTTCTACATGTTCCCCATTTCCTATTAATCCCGCAAATTAAAACCCAGGGGTGGAGGGATGGTGGGGGAATGGTGGTGGAGGGGGGTGGGCTGGACGGACAAGAGCGGGACGTAGGCCAAAATTTGCAATGGATTTAGCCAGATAAACTCTAGTATTTACCCCAATGTAATCTGTTGTTGTTGCTGTTGTTGTCTGTGAGAGGGCTGGCGGGTTATTAAGGGAGTCGCAGGCTCTGGCTAAATGGGCAGAGATTTCAGAGTCGAGGCTGCTCACTTGCATTGTATGTGGACAAGAGAAAGGACCGGGTCGCTCACTACACATACAAGTAACTCTGTTAAATGCTGCAGACATCTGAGATGGTACAACAGTAATAAGCCACTGTAGGGGCAGTCATCATTTATGTGTTCCCTCGCTGGGGGAAGTTCTGAACAGAGGGAGATGGTTCAAACCAAGCTTTCAGATGGGTTCAGTGGGAAGACATATTGTCTCTGAGTCTCTCTCTCTGTCTCTAACACTAAGGCTGCCGATCTCTCATTCCCTCCATCAATGATTGGCATGTGGGTGACTGACACTGAGCTCACATCTGTCACTGTTACACACACACAGCTCATACCCTGTGATGTGATTGATGGAGCTGTAAATCCTGGTGATTTTGCATTTACAGGAAATACACGTGAAGGAATTTATGGAAAAATATGACAAAAATGCCGATGGCCGGATTGAGATGGCAGAGGTAAGTGATGAGAGGGACCCAGCGCGCGCGCAAGTGTGTGTGAGTGAGTGAGAGACTGTGAGACCAACTTGTACCTTAACCAGGGTACTGTGCAGCCGGCCTCCCAGCCTGGGGCCAGCCGGGTGTCTGACACACGCAGAAACCCATCACCAAGAGTCTCCAAACCAAACCAAGCTGAGAATTCCATGCATCCCACCCACACATGGAAATCCCAGAGATAGATTGATGGAATGGAATGCTCTCTCTCTCTCTCTCTCTCTCTCTCTCTCCCTGGAGGGTTGCATCCTGATTACCAAATTTCAGAGAGTATTAGGCACAGGTCAGCGAGAGCCAAGGCTTGGGGTCCCCCCTGTGTGTGTTGGGGTAACTGCTGGAGTCTAACCAGCTAAACCCGCACAGCTTGCCATTGATATTGCTACCTGGCCAGCTTTCCTGCTGCTTCTCCAGCTAGGACTTTAGCTTGAAGGGTTAAGTGGAGTCCTGTAGCTCAGTGGTTGAGCACTCGCTTTGCAAGCTAGAGACCTGAGTTCAATTCCAGGCAGAGGGCGAAACCTTGGGCAAGTTTCCTTACTCCACACAGAGCCTAATAATAATCCCTCCATAAACCCAAAACAATAATAAATTGGTCATTTTCAATCTACGACTGTTTGTGGGACATTGCTGTGCGCAATTGGCTGCCGCGTTCGCCCACAAATATACAGTCAATTCACTTTACAGTGTGTTCTGTGAAGCGCTTTGGGACGTCCTCCCGACGTGAAAAGCGCTATATCAAATGCAAGGATTATTATTATTATTATTATTAACAGGAGCTGAGTAGGAAGAATCCCTGCCCCCAGTCACCGTCCTGCCCTGCCAAGCCCTGCCGACGGCTGGCTAGTCAGTCAATTGTCAATCAGCAGTACCCTGGACTTGCCTGGCTCAGGAACTGGACTAGAGACGGCCACAGAGGGTCGGCTCAATTCTGATATTCCATTGCCAGACAGCCTGTGATTGAAGGGGATAAATTCAGAACAAATCTGCGGAAACACTCATCACTGAGCGAGGAGTAAACGTATGGAACAGACTCCCGAGGGAGACAGACCGTGGAGGGAGACAGACCGTGGAGGGAGGGAGACCGTGGAGGGAGACAGATCGTGGAGGGAGGGAGACCGTGGAGGGAGGGAGACAGATCGTGGAGGTAGACAGACCGTGGAGGCAGAAAATGTTGGTTGTTTCAATAATAAATTAGATTGATTTCTGCTAAAAAATAATATCTGGGGCTAATACCGTGTATAGTTTGAGGCACAACATGTCAAGCGACAGCCAGGAGAGGATGGTGGAAAGTGACCTATATGGACCTTTCACCAGCAAATTCTTATGTTCTTATGTCACTTTGGAGCCAGTACAGACCCCAGATACCTCCCCTCCTGGGAGGACAGCCTGCAGACCTGAGGTGTCTAGTGAGGCCGCTGTGTGTCAGCCACAGGAGGAGGTGAGTAACTATGAAGAGAACAGCAGTGGAGACGGCTTATCTTGCTGTGCTGTTTTGCAGTTGGCGCAGATCCTGCCCACAGATGAGAACTTCTTACTGTGTTTCAGACAATGTGTCCATTCCAGCGGAGAGTTCATGGAGGTAAGTGGAAGACATGGAAGACAAAGGAGAAAATGGGGTAGAGGACAGGAGATGATGTTAATGATGCAAAACAAAGCGGGAGATTGTTTAAATTTCTAATTGGATTTGAGAAACTCAGAACAATACCTTCAGAGGCACCAACACAGATCAAAGAGAACATAGGGTCAGGGTTTGACAAGAACATTTATGACAGACACTGGGAAGTATTTCTTACAAGAAGTGTAACCGAGGGGGAAGAACAGGAAGTTAAGGCCGGGACAGAAGCAGCTGGATGTTGTGATGGAAAGACAACATGGTGGGTGGGTATCATGTAATGGTCGGATCCCAGGCGGTTCTTCATCTGAGTGGATATTGTCAGGAGTTTAAGATCGTTGTGTTGGCAATGGTTGGCTCAGTAAGAGAGTACAGGATCCTAGTAGCCTGGGGACTGGTGCCCTGTAGCTCAGTGGTTAGAGCACTCATCGCACGAGTGAGAGGATTCCATTCCCGGGCGGGTCAGGGTGAAATGTTGGGTGAAAAGTTTCCTTACACCACACACTCTCCTCTGTTTACCAGCAGTGAGCAGGAAGTTGTTAATTGATTGGCGGATCGCTTTCTGGGGTTTAGAATCCCTTAAAATAAGTTCTTAAAATATAATAATAATTTGGTCATTCAAACCACGACTGTTTGTGGGACGCTGTTGTGCGCAATTAACTGCCGCATTTCACCCACAAAATATACAGTCAATTCACTTTACAGCCTATTCTGTGAAGCGCTTTGAGACGTCTCGAAGACGTGATCAGGCTCTATATCAAATGCAAGGATTATTATTATCAGTAAACCCAGGGATTACAGTCTCCCTGTCAGTGTAAGACTCCAAACTGAAAATACACTGAGATCCAAGTGTAACATGAAGAATTCCCACTCTCCTAATGGGAACCTTCTCTCCCCAGACCTGGAGGAAATACGACACAGATCGCAGCGGTTACATCGAAGCCAACGAGCTAAAGGTGAGTGTCGCCGGGGGCAAACTGCAGAGGGTGTGCACAAAACAAACACATGGGGGCTTGTCGGGCTCGGTAGGGACTTAAGAGTGGGAGGCTGGATGGGGGGCAAGGGGGAGAGGCTGATGGGGAAGAGGGGAGTCTGGGAGGAGAGGCTGGGGATAGAGGGGGAGAGGCTGATGGGGGAGAAGGGAGGCTGGGGTGTGAAGGGGAGAGGCTGATGGGGGAGAGGGGAGGCTGATGGGGGAGAGGGGAGGCTGATGGGGGAGAGGGGAGGCTGATGGGGAGAGGGGAGGCTGATGGGGGAGAGGGGAGTCTGGGAGGAGAGGCTGGGGGTAGAGGGGGAGAGGCTGATGGGGGAGAGGGGAGGCTGGGGGTAGAGGGGAAGAGGCTGATGGGGGAGAGGGGAGGCTGGGGGGAGAGGCTGATGGGGGAGAGGGGAGGCTGGGGGAAGAGGGGAGGCTGATGGGGGAGAGGGGAGGCTGGGGGGAGAGGCTGATGGGGGAGAGGGGAGGCTGGGGTGTGAGGGGGAGAGGCTGATGAGGGAGAGGGGAGGCTGGGGGAGAGGCTGATGGGGGAGAGGGGAGGTTGGGGAAGAGGGGAGGCTGATGGGGGAGAGGGAGGCTGGGGAGAGGGGGGAGAGAGGGAGAGGCTGATGGAGGAGAGGCGAGGAGAGGGGGAGAGGCTGATGGAGGAGAGGCGAGGTTAGGGGGAGAGGCTGATGGATGAGAGGCGAGGCTAGGGGGAGAGGCTGATGGAGGAGAGGCGAGGCTAGGGGGAGAGGGGGAGAGGCTGATGGAGGAGAGGCGAGGCTAGGGGGAGAGGGGGAGAGGCTGATGATCTGCCATTATAATCATCAATTGGCAGAGCAGGGTGGGTGGGCTGTACGGCCTCCTCCTGCCCCTAACTGCTCTGATGGTGACAGCGTGTGAGGTCTGACCAAGGTTTGTGTTCACAGAGCTTCCTCCTGGACCTGCTGCAGAAAGCAAACCGACACTATGATGATAAGAAGCTGCAGGAGTACACCCAGACCATAGTGAGTAACACAGCACACGCACACCCTCCACACAGCCTGGGTCAACACTCACCCTAACAGCCATTCAGGCTCAGTGTGGCAGTCTCTGTGTCTGACACACACCGTAACCAGCCGCGTGTCTGACACTCACGGAAACCCGTCACCGTGATCAGCCGGGTGTCTGACACACACGGAAACCCGTCACCGTGATCAGCCGGGTGTCTGACACTCACGGAAACCCGTCACCGTGACCGGCCGGGTGTCTGACACTCACGGAAACCCGTCACCGTGACCGGCCGGGTGTCTGACACACACGGAAACCCGTCACCGTGACCGGTCGGGTGTCTGACACACACGGAAACCCGTCACCGTGACCGGCCGGGTGTCTGACACACACGGAAACCCGTCACCGTGACCAGCCGGGTGTCTGACACACACGGAAACCCGTCACCGTGACCAGTCGGGTGTCTGACACACACGGAAACCCGTCACCGTGACCAGCCGGGTGTCTGACACACACGGAAACCCGTCACCGTGACCAGTCGGGTGTCTGACACACACGGAAACCCGTCACCGTGACCAGCCGGGTGTCTGACACACACGGAAACCCGTCACCGTGACCAGTCGGGTGTCTGACACACACGGAAACCCGTCACCGTTACCAGCCGGGTGTCTGACACACACGGAAACCCGTCACCGTGACCAGTCGGGTGTCTGACACACACGGAAACCCGTCACCGTGACCCGCCGGGTGTCTGACACACACGGAAACCCGTCACCGTGACCGGCCGGGTGTCTGACACGCACGGAAACCCGTCACCGTGACCAGTCGGGTGTCTGACACGCACGGAAACCCGTCACCGTGACCAGCCGGGTGTCTGACACACACGGAAACCCGTCACCGTGACCAGTCGGGTGTCTGACACGCACGGAAACCCGTCACCGTGACCAGCCGGGTGTCTGACACACACGGAAACCCGTCACCGTGACCGGCCGGGTGTCTGACACGCAAAGCTTCACCAAAATCTTCCCTTTCAGCTGCGGATGTTCGATGCTAACGGCGACGGCAAACTAGGGCTGTCAGAGATGGCGCGGTGAGTCACCCCCACACACACAGGCACACACAATCACCCACATACACACACACAGGCACATGCACACACACACACCCACACACACAGGCACATGCACACACAATCACCCACACACACACACACCCACACACATAGGCACATGCACACACAATCACCCACACAAACACCTACACGCGCACGTAGCCGCCCACGCACACAGCCGCCCACGCACACAGGCACCACCCAACCACCCCGGACAGAGTCTCAGAGCACCCCCGTACACAGCCCACCCGCACACGAGCAGGCACCCACACACGTGCAGGCACCCGCGCAGGCACCCACACACGCGCAAGCACCCACACGCGCGCAGACACCCACACACGCGCAGGCAACCACACACGCGCAGGCACCCAAACACGCGCAGGCACCCAAACACGCGCAGGCACCCACACATGCACAGGCACCCCCGCGCACAGCCACCCCCACGCACAGCCACCCACACACACACACAGAATAGTAGGGGGTTAGGAGGTCACAGAGGTCGGGGGGAGCAAAACCATGGAGGGCTTTGAAGGTGAGGACCAGGATCTTGAACTATATCCTCTGTGTGATGGGAAGCCAGTGGAGTCGGGCGAGGATGGGGGGTGGTAGGGTCACGGAGCCTGGTGGGGGTGATGATGGGGGTGGTAGGGTCACGGAGCCTGGTGGGGGTGATGATGGGGGTGGTAGGGTCACGGAGCCTGGTGGGGGTGATGATGGGGGTGGTAGGGTCACGGAGCCTGGTGGGGGTGATGATGGGGGTGGTAGGGTCACGGAGCCTGGTGGGGGTGATGATGGGGGTGGTAGGGTCACGGAGCCTGGTGGGGGTGATGATGGGGGTGGTAGGGTCACGGAGCCTGGTGGGGGTGATGATGGGGGTGGTAGGGTCACGGAGCCTGGTGGGGGTGATGATGGGGGTGGTAGGGTCACGGAGCCTGGTGGGGGTGATGATGGGGTGGTAGGGTCACGGAGCCTGGTGGGGGTGATGATGGGGGTGGTAGGGTCACGGAGCCTGGTGGGGGTGATGATGGGGGTGGTAGGGTCACGGAGCCTGGTGGGGGTGATGATGGGGGTGGTAGGGTCACGGAGCCTGGTGGGGGTGATGATGGGGGTGGTAGGGTCACGGAGCCTGGTGGGGGTGATGATGGGGGTGGTAGGGTCACGGAGCCTGGTGGGGGTGATGATGGGGGTGGGAGAGGGAGTGGGCACGCAGGGCGGCAATAACAAGACTGATGTACAGTGAGGGGCTGAGATCCTGGGGAAAGGTGCTGACTAGATGGTAAGAATTATTACCTGGAACAACAGCAGCAATATAGCGCCCCTCACCCAAGGTAGCGTCTCAGAGCACTTGGCAATACACTGTATCCAGGGCAGCCTCACACACACCCTCACACACCCACGCACACCCTCACATGCCCACACATACCCACCCACACACCCTCACATGCCCACACATACCCACCCACACACCCACCCACACACCCTCACACACACAAACGCAAGTTCAGAGGAAATGAGATAACACAAACCTCGTTTAGTGACCATCATAACACAGTTTGTATGTTTACACACACACACACACACACAGACACACACAGGCTCACAAAGACACACACACACACGCAGACACATCCTCACACACCCAAGCACACCCTCACATGCCCACACATACCCTCACATGCCCACCCACACACCCACGCACACCCTCACATGCCCACACATAATAATAATAATCCTTGCATTTGATATAGTGCTTTTCACGTCGGGAGGACGTCCCAAAGCGCTTCACAGAACACACTGTAAAGGGAATTGACTGTATATTTGTGGGCGAACGCGGCAGCCAATTGCGCACAGCAATGTCCCACAAACAGTCGTAGATTGAAAATGACCAATTTATTATTGTTTTTGGTTTTGGAGGGATTATTATTAGGCTCTGTGTGGAGTAAGGAAACTTGCCCAAGGTTTCGCCCTCTGCCTGGAATTGAACTCAGGTCTCTCGCTTGCAAAGCGAGTGCTCTAACCACTGAGCTACAGGACTCCACACACCCTCACACACCCACGCACACCCTCACATGCCCACACACACCCTCACATGCCCACCCACACACCCACGCACACACACACACACACAAACGCAGTCCAGAAAGTTCAGAGGAAACGAGATAACACAAACCTCGTTTAGTGACCATCATAACACAGTTTGTATGTTTACACGTGTGTGAGTGAATGAGTGAGAATGTGAGGAGTGTGTGTGAGTGACTCTGTGTGTGAGGGTGTGAATGTGGTTGAGTGACGCTGTACACCGCTGTATAAAGCACGGTGTCAGACACACAGACATTGTCATGTGACTGATCTCTTCCCCCCACACCTGTCTCCAGGTTATTACCTGTTCAGGAAAACTTCCTATTGAAGTTTCAGGTGAGTTTTTCCGATTCCCCGGTGTTACAGTTCTCTCCCCTCTCCCCAGAGTAACTCCACCCAAAAGCTGGTTTATCACACATGTGGGTGTCAGGGGAGGGGAGGGCTCAGCTGGGGTTCACCCCCCTCAACCCCCCCCACCCCACCCCAAAGAGACTGTCACAGAGGACTGGCTCAATTCCGACATTCTGTTGCCAAAAACAGAAGTCGCTGGGAACACTCAGCAGGTCAGGCAGCATCTATGGAGAGAAGGGATTTGAATGTAAGGATCCTTCCGGCATATCTACACCCACCATTACAGGATAGTTAGTGAGTGAGTAGTAAACATATGAAACAGGCTCCCGGGGGGGGGGGGAGAGAGAGAGTGAGAGAAAGTGGGGGTGACGGACGGATGGACGGACGGTGGAAGCTGGAAAATAATATCTGGGGACACAGTGTATAGTTTGGGGCATGACATGTCAAGCGACTGCTGGGAGAGGATGGTGAAAGGTGAACTAGATGGACCTTGATCTTTCACCAGCAAATTCTTATGTTCTTATTTGGTCAGAGGCCAAGCGTGGGTTTCAGCCTCACTCAGTGGATGGCAAGAACCAGGAGCTCTGTGTGAGCTTCCTGTGGGCAACACATCTCAGCATGAAATGCGTAAGAGCATTGCCACCTTCTTTCTGCCCACAGTTTGGGGCACCCTGTGACTGCCCAGTGCTGGAGCTGTGAACCCACCCACCCCAAGACCTGCCCTGACACAGCCCCAAATAACATAGCCCCACAGAGCAGAGCCCCACATGGCAGAGGCACCACAGCGAGGTGGTGGTGGTGGGGGGTGAGATTGGCATTTTCCTCCCCTCCCCAGGCAGTGTTTGTGCGGGCACAGTGTGCGTTGAGACATTGATGAGCTTCTATTTTACTCCCAGGGCCCTGGAGGATCACAGGTAAGGCTCCCTAAGTCGCTGCTTGGCTCTCGCTTGCTGCCATCCCCTGACAGCACAGCTCGCTGTCCCTGCCATGTTCCCCTATAACCGAGTGTTTGTGTGTGAGGCACACACAGTCTATGCAAACAGCACAGCCAAAGGCAATGGCTGATCTCTTACTCATGCCCAACAAACCCCATTATTAGCAGATTTCATGTTTGTTCCCATTTTTACTTGTTTCTGCTCATTCCCCAATGCCTGCTCCCCTTAATCCCCCACTCCCCTTAATCCCCCACTCCCCCTAACCCCTCACTCTCCTTAAACCCCCACGCCTCCTAAACCCCCGCTCCCCTTAACCCCTCACTACGCAGCCCCTGCTCCCCTTAACCCCTCACTCCCCTTAACCCCTCACCCCCAGCGTCTACTCCCCTTAACCACCAACTCCCTGCACTGCCACTCACTCCCTCACCCCTCACTCCCCAGGCCATGATTAATTGCTCGCTTTCCATCTTCTGCTCCCTTGAACCCTTCGCTCTCCAGGCCTCTGCCCTGCTATCTCCCAGCATATGTGTCATCACTGTACATTCTCCAGCCTACGTCCTGTGTGTGTTGTTTGTCTCTGTCTCCGCACATGGTCTTTCTCTCAGATCATTCTCTCTCTCTCTCTGTCCCATGTCACTCGCTCGGTGACTCTCCCTGTAAATCAAAAGAAAGTGGTAGATAGAAAATGGGTGATGACTGGGAGACAGTTTAGGGGAAGATGTAAAGTGGTGGGGTTATGAGAGGAGATCCCAGGAGGTCAGTCTTTGGGTGGCTGTGAGATGGGAACCATGAGCTGTGAGCTGAGGGGAAATATGTGTAGCTTTGGGATCTCAGAGCTGATTTGAACAGTGGAGGAATGGTGCTTCCAGATTCAGACTAGGATCTGATGAGCCAGGAGATGACAAATGCAGTTTACCGCAGGTAAAACCATTAGTTTGGGAGCAAGAATCCTACACAGGGCAGTGTGTGTGTTGAATTTAAAGGTTATGCTGGCTATTATCTGGAAAGGGACAACACTGGAGACAAGTAACCTTCCAAACCTGCAGACCACAGGGCAGGTGGACTGGACTGTCCAGATGCTGATTTGTCAGAGGGGTTAACAAGGTATTCACAATGATCCCTTGGTGCTATTTGAAAAAAAGAAAGGAGTTTCTCTCTCCCAGTGTCCTGCCAAACAATCCCCCAAATAAAATTGGTTGCTCTCTCCATGACTGTTTGTGGGGCATTGCTGTGTGCAAAATTGGTAGTTGCATTCACCCACAAAATAAACAGTCACTACACTTTACAGTAAAATCTTGTGAAGCTCTTTGAGGTGCTTCTTATTGGTCATCATGGACCACACTGAGGAGATATAATATAAAAATAATCTTTATATTTGATACAGCACTTTATCATGTCTTTGAGACATCTCAAAGCACTTCACAGGATATAATAATAATAATAATAATCCTTGCATTTGATATAGCGCTTTTCACGTCGGGAGGACGTCCCAAAGCGCTTCACAGAATAGACTGTAAAGTGAATTGACTGTATATTTGTGGGCGAACGCGGCAGCCAATTGCGCACAGCAATGTCCCACAAACAGTCGTAGATTGAAAATGACCAATTTATTATTGTTTTGTTTTGGAGGGATTATTATTAGGCTCTGTGTGGAGTAAGGAAACTTGCCCAAGGTTTCGCCCTGCCTGGAATTGAACTCAGATCTCTCGCTTGCAAAGCGAGAGCTCTAACCACTGAGCTACAGGACTCCACTATATACTATAAAGTGAATTGTTTATATATTTTGTGGGTGAAAAGTTAGACATAAATGGTAAATTTAGACTGGACTATGAAGGGCAATAGACTGGGGCTGAGTCAGGAGTGAAGGGCAGGAAAGCAAATGGGGTAAATGATGGGGAGGAGGTTTCTGGAGAAGGTGGGGGAGATGTGCAGGAATGGCACGAGATTCAAGATCAACCAAATGGGCGACTTCTTGGGACAAATACTCCTTTCCTGTTCCTCAAGTGTTCTGTACCCCTTGTTTAATTTGTCCTTTGTGTCTTGGTGTGTATCTGTCTCTTGTCTCTCTCTCTCTCTGCCCTGGAACAAGCCAGTTTGTGCAACAGGGTGTGTGGTTAGTGACTGGTGGACAGCAGGTAATGTGAAGCAACAAAGACCAGGGTCTTTCTCTGGGGTAATAACATGGCACCTGATACCCTAAAGCCACGAGTTGTGTGGTCATTAGACAATACTCAGGCCGGCTCCCATTATAGTTTATCTCTCCCTCTGTGACTGGTCACTTTACGTGCTCATCAAGTGCGAGGTTAACATGGGTTAGAGACACAGTAAAGCTCCTCTACACTGCGTCCACACTCCCAGGTCAGGGTTAGAGACACAGTAAAGCTCCTTCTACACTGTGTGTCCACACTCCCAGGTCAGGGTTAGAGACACAGTAAAGCTCCTCTACACTGTGCGTCCACACTCCCAGGTCAGGGTTAGAGACACAGTAAAGCTCCTCTACACTGTGCGTCCACACTCCCAGGTCAGGGTTAGAGACACAGTAAAGCTCCTCTACACTGTGCGTCCACACTCCCAGGTCAGGGTTAGAGACACAGTAAAGCTCCTCTACACTGTGCGTCCTCACTCCAAGGTCAGGGTTAGAGACACAGTAACGCTCCTCTACACTGTGTGTCCACACTCCCAGGTCAGGGTTAGAGACACAGTAACGCTCCTCTACACTGTGCGTCCTCACTCCCAGGTCAGGGTTAGAGACACAGTAACGCTCCTCTACACTGTCCGTCCACACTCCCAGGTCAGGGTTAGAGACACAGTAACGCTCCTCTACACTGTGCGTCCTCACTCCCAGGTCAGGGTTAGAGACACAGTAACGCTCCTCTACACTGTGTGTCCACACTCCCAGGTCAGGGTTAGAGACACAGTAAAGCTCCTCTACACTGTGTGTCCACACTCCCAGGTCAGGGTTAGAGACACAGTAAAGCTCCTCTACACTGTGCGTCCACACTCCCAGGTCAGGGTTAGAGACACAGTAAAGCTCCTCTACACTGTGTGTCCACACTCCCAGGTCAGGGTTAGAGACACAGTAAAGCTCCCTCTACATTGCGTCCACAAATCAGCTCCCAATCTTCACTGCTTTCCAGAACCACCCCCACCCACACACACTCACACACTGCCGCCCCCACACACACGTGCACAAATACTGCCGCGCCCCCCACACATACACACACACTGCCCTCCGCCTACCCACTCATAACGGGCAGAGGGTCCAAGCAAAGAGGAAGTGAAAACCATGTACTAAGGCGGGCTGGGGGGCCGGGCGAGGGGCGCGCAGCCCCTCCCTTGCTCACCGTGCCTAACCACAGCAGCTGTGAAGCACATTCACGGTGCCCCAGCTTTATACGTGATAATCCACTATATCAATGCCAAGGATTATTATTATTGTTATTTAATTATGAGTCTTTCATTCACTCTCAGGGCATGAAGCTGAGCACAGAGGAATTCAACGCAATCTTCGCATTTTATGACAAGGTAACAAGCAGTAGGGGCTGGGGGCGAGGGGGCTGGGGGAGAGGGGGCTGTGGGCGGGGCCTGGGGGAGCGGGCTGAGGGGATAGGGGGCTGGGGAGAGGCGGCTGGGGGAGGGGGGGCTGGGGGAGGGGGGGCTGGGGGAGAGGGGCTGGGGAGGGGGGGAGAGGGGCTGAGGGGAGGGGGCTGGGGGAGGGGGCTGGGCACTGGGGGGAGGGGGCTGAGGGATGGGGGCTGAGGAGAGCGGGCTTGGGGCTGAGGGGAGGGGGCTGAGGCGATGGGGCTGGGGGCTGAGGGGAGGGGGCTGAGGGGAGAGGGCTGAGGCGATGGGGCTGAGGGGAGAGGGCTGAGGCGATGGGGCTGAGGGGAGGGGCTGAGGGGTCTGGACCAGCCTTGGGCCTCCAGACGAGCTGATGTTATGTCTCCTCAGGATGGCAATGGCTACATTGATAAGAACGAGTTGGATGCGCTGCTTAAAGACTTGTATGAAAAAAATAAAAAGGTGAGAACAGGGAGGATCCACACCTCTGCCTCCTCCTAACCCCTACCAACCTGCTTACTCCCTCCGCTCAGCGGGCTCCAGCCTGTTTCACGTCCCCCATCTCAAGCCGCTACACCATTGGTGGGCAGACCTTCTCCCACTCTGCCCCCACCCTCTGGAACTCCATCTCGCAGTCCCTCCACCTCACCCCCTCCCTTGCCGCCTTCAAGATCCGTCCCAACACTCTCCTCTTCGTCTGTGCTTTCGATCTCCGTGCTTCCCCCCCTGCCCTCCCCCCTCCCCAAACCCGACCCCCAGCTCGGATCCGAAACACTGACTGTCCAGCGCTTTGGGACGTCCTCCTAATGTGAAAGGCGCTTCACAATGTAATTTTGTTGGTTGTGTCCCTTTATGTTCATCGAAATCTGAAATATCAGTGCTTCACAAAACAGAGTAAAGCTACTTCTACACTGCCCGTCCCTGACCAGTGTAGGGGGTCTGTGGCTGAGGTGGGAGTGTGTACAGACAGTGTAGGGGGAGCTTTACTCTGTGGCATAGGATTTAATGTTATAATAAAATGTCTAACGCACTGCTGTGGGAATGGCTGATCCTGCGAGCTTTGAATCTCTTGTTGCTTGTTATTCCCAGGAAATGGACGTGCAGAAATTCAGCGCTTACAAGAAAAACATTCTGTCGCTGTCTGACGGTGGCCGTCTGTACCGCCGGGAGCTGGCCATGGTGCTGTGCACAGAGCCTCTGTAGAGAAACTACACCACACCCCTCACTCCCTGCCCACCGCAGCAACCATACCTCCCCCTGCGCCCCCCCCGACCCCTTCCCATCCCATCCCAGAGCATGTCACCCCCTCTCCCCTCCCCTCCGTTCTCATGCTTGTAACACAGACATCGCACAAGAGCGATCAGTGACTGTGTGACCCCTCCACCGGCTGCTGTGTATGTTCAGTCCAGATCTCCTCCTTTGCTCATGAATTTTAATGTAAACGGATAGCGGACAGTCCCTGTGATTGATCGGAGATGTTCAGCACTGCCTGTGGTGGACGGTCATTTATTTAATATTTATTTTATTGGTGTTTGAGGTTAGGAACAGAACAGGCTCCCCAGGGAGACAGACGGAAGGTAGAAGCAGAAAATGTTCAATTAGTTAGATTTATGCTAGAAAATAAGATCTGGGGCTAATACAGTGTATAGTTTCGGACACGACACGTCTAGCGACTGCCAGGAGAGATGGTGGAAGGTGAACTAGATGACCTTAGTCTTTCACCAGCAAATTCTTATGTTCTTATGTTAGGCTGCTCACCCTCATTAGCCAAGTTAGACTGAAAAGTGCTTCCACTAGGGAACAAGGGTTGTCCCCACAGACTAGCCCCTCCCCCCCAAACTCTTCTAGGCCCCAAATTGCCAAAGGACAATGTGGACCTGAACCATGACCAAGCCCAGCCTGAGCCTAGTGACCAGGGGATCAAGTGAGCTCTGATTCCAGTGTCTCCCCTTCCTCTATGTGAGAGCAGGTCAGTGACCAGAAATGATGTGACGCCAGACAGCAAGTTACCTGTGTGTCTCCATCACCGAATCCCTGGCAGTGAGCTCCCATCAGCAGGAGGAGATGCCAAGGACAATAACAAGCAGTGGGTTATTGGCTGGTGGCCATACAAACAGTGATATGGCCTTGGAGACGGGAACCCTGGGCCGGGCAGTGATGGTGGGTTGGTGGGGATCGCGGTGGGTTAGAGCAGGGAAAGTGGGGCCTGGCGCAGGCTCTGGGAGCAGCTGATCTCTAGCCTGGTCTGTGCGGGTCCGATCGCCATTGTTTGGGGATTCCAACACCAACAACAACTTGCACTGATATAGCGCCCTCCACGCAGGGTAGCGTCTCAGAGTGCTTAAAGAGTTCCACTTCTTGTCGACAATCACATTCAGCTCCCGTTATGTCCAGTATCCCTCCCTCCACAGGACAACAACTTGCATTTACATAGCACCCTTCATGCCGGATGGCGTCTCGGAGCACTAACAAAAACAGACACCGAGGGGGCAAGAGAGGTGTGGGTCACTGACACTGGACTCACAGTAACAGGGTCTTTGCTTGACTAGTGAGTTATGTTTGGGGGGGTTTTCCCCATGTACCCTGCTTGTAAAGCAGCTTAGTATGGAAACCACCATAAGCTGCCTAGGTATTTCTTTAGTTGAACAAAATTGTGACCTCCCGGTTCTCATATTACGTGAGCTCCCAGTGGAATAAAATACATTTTCATTGAAGGTGGCCTCTTGTCTGAGTCTCTAATCTCATTCACACCATCCACTGCACTCCAATATAGGCTAGTCGACTGGGCAGAGAGACGGCAGATGAAACTGAATGCAGTAAAAGTTTGAGTTTATGTGTTTTAGGAGGAAAAGTCAGGAGAGTAAGTGCATATAAATAATAAAAAATAAAAGTACATGGGCAGAGAGATCGAGGGGTTAACATACAACAACAAAAACAAGATTCCATTTATAGAGCGCCTTTCACGTCGGGAGGACGTCCCAAGGCGCTGGACAGTTGGGTCAGGACCCGAGCAGAGGGGAAATGGTCAGGTTGAGGGGAGCTGAAGGCTCGGTCAAAGAGAAAGGTCGTGAGACCGGCCTTGAAGGAGGAAAGGGAGGAAGCGGCGAAGACACTGGGGGATAGAGTTCCAGAGACTCGGGGCTGAGAGGCTGAAGGCCCGACCACCGATGGTAGGGCGGTTGGGGCGGGGGATGTGGAGCAGACCGGAGCCAGAGGAACGGAGGGTACGGGCAGGTAGGTAGGGGGATAGTAGGTCGGAGAGGTAGGAGGGAGCAAGGCCGTGAATGGCCTTGTAGGTGAGGATGAGGATCTTGAAATCAATCCTCTGGGGGATGGGGAGCCAGTGGAGGCGAGCGAGGGCGAGGGTGGGAGTGATGTGGTCGCGGTGTCTGGTGCGGGACAGTACACGAGCTGCAGAGTTCTGAATGACCTGCAGTGTGGAGGGAGGGCCGGGAAGGCCGCGAGGAGAGAGATCCCATAGTCCAGCCTTGAGGTGATAAAGGCGTGGACCAGAGTTTCAGCCGCGTGAGGGGTGAGGTAGTGCCGTAGTCTGGCGATGTTCTGGAGGTGGTGGAAGGCGGTGCCAGTTGTGGCGCGGATATGAGGGAGAAAGGACAGCTCAGGGTCAGTGAGGGTTGAAGGCCAGAGGGAGAGGAGTTCAGAGGACTCCAAGGCAGCGGTTAGGGATTGTGGGGGTAACTTCTTCCAGGGGCGGTAGAAGATGGTGGTGGGTCTGGTGGAGGTGGGGAGGGGGGTGGAGGTGGTGAAGGAGATGAAGTGGTGATCGGAGACGGCCTTGTCGGTTATGGTGACATCCGAGACACTGAGGCCCCGGGTGATCACCAAATCGAGTGGGTGGCCGTGACTGTGAGTGGGGGAGTTGATATGGAGGGAGAGGTTGAGCGAGGAGAGCAGGGAAGAGAAGTCTGAGGAGATGGAGCAGGAGGGGGTGAAGTGCAGGTTGAAGTCGCCCAGGATGATGAGGCGATCAGAGGAGAGGCAGAGAGATGTAAATAGGGTAGACATATCGGAGATGAAGGTGGGAAAGGTTTTAGGGGCCGGTAGAGGAGGAGGATTTTGAGTGAGAGGAAGGAGGGGTGGGAGAGGGTGAGGTGCTCAAAAGAGGGGAAAGAGCCAGAGGAGTAGGGGGATAGGGCAAGTGGTGTCCTTGAGATAAGGGCTACACCACCGCCACGGCGGTTGGGGCGGGGGATGTGGTGGGAGGTGTAGCCGGGTGGTGTGGCCTCCGTGAGGGGGAAGGTGTCGCCTGGGGTGAGCCAGGTTTCCGTTAAGGCCATGATGTCAACGCTCTCATCAAGGATGAGATCGTTGATGACCAGGGCCTTGTTACAGAGGGAGCGGACGTTTTGTAGTCCGATGTGGAGGGAGCGGTTGACAGAAGGGTGTGTGGGGAGGGGAGGGGGGTCCAGGTTGTGAGGCAGGGGTGGGGGGAATGGGGATGAGGGAGGAGAGGTTGACTCCCCGGGTCTGTGTCCGGGGTGGGTGGCGAGTGTGGTGGGGAATGGGGCAGTCGGTGTGGCTGCTGCTGGACAGCCAACGCCGAGTGCCGCGGTGAGCCCGGCGGAGGATTCCCAGGCTGGAGCAGAGGGAGGTTGTGGGAGGGTCAAGTGGGGATAGAAGGCGAGAGGGACGGAGGGAGAGGAGGACAGAGTGGGAGAGATGCAGAGGGGGGAGGGTATGGGGGGAGAGAGGAGGGGGGAGGGAGGGAGGGGGTGAGGAGGCTCGGGTCAGAGCAGCAGCCATAATGCGCATACCCTCTAAAGCTGGGAAAACAGGTGAAGAGCTGTGAAAATATCTTATGGGATTGATATAACAAATAGGGACTTAGAATATAAAATGATGGAGACGATGTGTAACCTATGTAAATCATTAGTTAGACCACCACAATAATAATAATCTTTGCATTTGATATAGCGCTTTTCACATCTTCGCGATGTCTCAAAGCGCTTCACAGAACATACTGTAAAATGAGCAAAATGCGGCAGCCAATTGTGCACAGCAGCGTCCCACAAACTTCTGGATTGAGTGACCAAATTTTTTTTCAAAGGTATTATTACCCCCGGAAAAGCAATCCGCCAGTCGACTAACAACCAGGTTCCTACTTACTACTAGGTAAACCGAGGCATGTGGAGTAAGGAAACTTGCCCAATGTCTCGCCCTTTCCGGGAATCAAACCCAGGTCTCTTGATTGCGAGGCGAATACTTTTACCGCTGAATTACAGGACTTTAGTATTGTGTTGAGTTTTGGTCACTACTTTGAGAAGGACCATTGAAAGGGTGAGAGATTTACTGGGATGATACCAGCCAGAGATGAGCGGTTTGGCTTATAAGAGGAGATTGGAGGAACTGGCTCAATTGTCACTGGAACAGAGAAGGTTGAGGGGAGACCTCAATCATGCTTCCTGGCAACCTGTCCCAGTTGTTAATTACCCTCTGTGCGAAGAATAACCTCCTGAGACTGCCCTTCACACTCCTAAACTCTCATTCTGCTGTCTCGGCCTCGATGAGTGTTCTGGATTGATTTTCTCAATCTCATTTCAGGCACGTAACCTTAGAGTTGGGACATCCTCAAGGAGGACAGTATTTCACTACAACCTCAACAACAACAACAACAAGATTCCATTTATAGAGCGCCTTTCACGTCAGGAGGACGTCCCAAGGCGCTGCACAGTTGGGTCATGACCCGAGCATTGGGGAAATGGTCAGGGTGAGGGGAGGGAAGGGAGGGAGAGAGGAGGGGGGAAGTGGTCAGGGTGAGGGGAGGGAAGGGAGGGAGCGAGGAGGAGGAAGAGAGTCGAGAGGGGAGCTGAAGGCACGGTCAAAGAGAAAGGTTTTGAGACCGGCCTTGAAGGAGGAAAGGGAGGAGGCGGCGAAGGCACTGGGGATGGAGTTCCAGAGCCTCGGGGCTGAGAGGCTGAAGGCCCGACCACCGATGGTAGGGCGGTTGGGGCGGGGGATGTGGAGCAGACCGGAGCCAGAGGAACGGAGGGTACGGGCAGGTAGGTACGGGGATAGTAGGTTGGAGAGGTAGGAGGGAGCGAGGCCGTGAATGGCCTTGTAGGTGAGGATGAGGATCTTGAAATCAACCTCCCAACCTTTGCATAAATTTGTTTTACAAATGACCCATCATACAGCACTCCTCAAGCTAAATCCAGATCAACACCAAATATCAACAACAACTTGCATTTACACAGCGCCCCTCACACAGCGTAGCATCCCAGAGCTAATCGTTCCTCTAACACGGGGAATCAGCCTTGTTTCATAGACATTTACAGCAAAGAAGGCCCTTAGTGACAGAACAATCCCCTCACTTTCATTTACCTCACCTTCCGCTCCCCCCCCCCACTGCTCCCCTCCTCCCCCCGCTCCCCCCCTCCCTGCTCCCCTCCTCCCCCCTCCCCCCCCGCTCCCCACTGCTCCCCTCCTCCCCCCCCGCTCCCCCACTGCTCCCCTCCTCCCCCCCCGCTCCCTCCCGCTCCCCCCCTGCTCCCCCTCCCTGCTCCCCTCCTCCCCCCCTCGCTCCCCCTCCCCCCCCTGCTCCCCCCTCTGCTCCCCCTCCCCCCCCTGCTCCCCTCCTCCCCCTACTCCCCCCCTCTGCTCCCCACCCCCTGCTCCCCCCCCACTGCTCCCCCCCTCTGCTCCCCCTCCCTCCCCCCTCTGCTCCCCCTCCCCCCCTCGCTCCCCCCCTCGCTCCCCCCCCTCGCTCCTCCCCCCCCTCTGCTCCCCCTCCCCCCACTGCTCCCCTCCTCCACCCCGCTCCCCCCTCTGCTCCCCCTCCCTCCCCCTCTGCTCCCCCTCCCCGCCTCGCTCCCCCCCCTCTGCTCCCCCTCCCCCCCCTGCTCCCCCCCCACTGCTCCCCTCCTCCACCCCGCTCCCCCCTCTGCTCCCCCTCCCCCCCCTGCTCCCCCCCTCTGCTCCCCCTCCCCCCCTGCTCCATTACATGCTCTGTTACATTTTTGGAGATGGCGTCCTTCAGATGAGAAGTTAAACCGAGGCCCCATGTGCTGTGGCGGGAGTGTGTGAAGGCCCCGGGGCAGTGTGGGGGTCCCTCCGCCGGTGTCCGGCCAACAGACCCCACAAATAAAACTCGTTGTGGCTGTGTGTGTGTGACACTCCTGTGGGCAACTTATTTGTTGCGGTCACAGTCACTACACTTGAGCTGTTTGAGCTGTTCTGGGGCTGCTCGGCCCCTCCCTCAGCGCCTTCAACACCCATCTCACGACCCTCCCTTTGGCCGCGCTGTCCATCTCCCGCTGACCCCCGAGAGAGAAATCGCTGCAGTGTGGTCCTCCGGGCGGCGGGGGGCGCTGGAGCGGTTGGGTTGCGGTGCAGGTGGCCTCTTGCCCCCTGGTATATAAGGCTGTGAGGCGCCGCCTCCCCGCACTCCCCGCCGCCGCCATGTCGCTGTTCAGCTCCGCCAGGATCCTGTCCGCGGCCGCCCAGCGCCCGGGGCCCGCCACCGCCCTCTGCCTCAGGGCCAGGTAACACCGTGGGGGTGGGGGTGGGGGTGGGTGAGGAGGAGGGTTACCCGATCAACAGCCCCCCCCCACTCCCGGGGTGACGGTTAGGGGGTGGCTGTTGCCGCGGTGACGGGTGGGGGTGGGATTCCGGGGCTGCAGTTACCCGGGGTGACGGGTGAGGGCGCTCGCGGGCCTGTGGCTGTGACAGGCGCTGCCTTTGCCGTTGCCCTTGTGGAGGAGAGTTAAGGGCACGAGAACACGTGGGTCCTGCGCCCCCCGCCCCCTGCCGCCAGCAACAAGCCCCGCCCCCAGCCCCCTGCCGCCAGCAACAAGCCCCGCCCCCAGCCCCCTGCCGCCAGCAACAAGCCCAGCCCCTGCCGCCAGCAACAAGCCCCGCCCCCAGCCCCCTGCCGCCAGCAACAAGCCCCGCCCCCAGCCCCAGCCCCCTGCCGCCAGCAACAAGCCCCGCCCCCAGCCCCCTGCCGCCAGCAACAAGCCCCGCCCCCAGCCCCCTGCCGCCAGCAACAAGCCCCGCCCCCAGCCCCCTGCCGCCAGCAACAAGCCCCGCCCCCAGCCCCCTGCCGCCAGCAACAAGCCCCGCCCCCAGCCCCCTGCCGCCAGCAACAAGCCCCGCCCCCAGCCCCCTGCCGCCAGCAACAAGCCCCGCCCCCAGCCCCCTGCCGCCAGCAACAAGCCCCGCCCCCAGCCCCCTGCCGCCAGCAACAAGCCCCGCCCCCAGCCCCCTGCCGCCAGCAACAAGCCCCGCCCCCAGCCCCCTGCCGCCAGCAACAAGCCCCGCCCCCAGCCCCAGCCCCCTGCCGCCAGCAACAAGCCCCGCCCCCAGCCCCCTGCCGCCAGCAACAAGCCCCGCCCCTGCCGCCAGCAACAAGCCCCGCCCCCAGCCCCCGCCCCCAGCCCCCTGCCGCCAGCAACAAGCCCCGCCCCCAGCCGCCAGCAACAAGCCCCGCCCCCAGCCCCCAGCCCCCTGCCGCCAGCAACAAGCCCCGCCCCCAGCCCCCTGCCGCCAGCAACAAGCCCCGCCCCTGCCGCCAGCAACAAGCCCCGCCCCCAGCCCCCGCCCCCAGCCCCCTGCCGCCAGCAACAAGCCCCGCCCCCAGCCCCCTGCCGCCAGCAACAAGCCCCGCCCCCAGCCCCAGCCCCCTGCCGCCAGCAACAAGCCCCGCCCCCAGCCCCCTGCCGCCAGCAACAAGCCCCGCCGCCAGCCCCCAGCAACAAGCCCCGCCCCCAGCCCCCTGCCGCCAGCAACAAGCCCCGCCCCTGCCGCCAGCAACAAGCCCCGCCGCCAGCCCCCAGCCCCCTGCCGCCAGCAACAAGCCCCGCCCCCAGCCCCCTGCCGCCAGCAACAAGCCCAGCCCCCAGCCCCCTGCCGCCAGCAATAAGCCCCGCCCCCAGCCCCCTGCCGCCAGCAACAAGCCCCGCCCCCAGCCCCCTGCCGCCAGCAACAAGCCCCGCCCCCAGCCCCCGCCCCCTGCCGCCAGCAACAAGCCCAGCCCCCAGCTCCCTGCCCCCAGGCCCCAGCCCCAGCGCCCTGCCCAGCCCCCAGCGCCCTGCCCAGCCCCCAGCACCCTGCCCAGCCACCAGCGCCCTGCCCAGCGCCCTGCCCAGCCCCCAGCACCCTGCCCAGCCCCCAGCGCCCTGCCCAGCCCCCAGCGCCCTGCCCAGCCCCCAGCGCCCTGCCCAGCCCCCAGCGCCCTGCCCAGCCCCCAGCACCCTGCCCAGCCACCAGCGCCCTGCCCAGCGCCCTGCCCAGCCCCCAGCACCCTGCCCAGCCCCCAGCGCCCTGCCCAGCCCCCAGCACCCGGCCCAGCGCCCTGCCCAGCGCCCTGCCCAGCCCCCAGCACCCTGCCCAGCCCCAGCGCCCTGCCCAGCGCCCTGCCCAGCCCCCAGCACCCTGCCCAGCCCCCAGCACCCTGCCCAGCCCCCAGCGCCCTGCCCAGCCCCCAGCACCCTGCCCAGCCCCAGCGCCCTGCCCAGCGCCCTGCCCAGCGCCCTGCCCAGCGCCCTGCCCAGCCCCCAGCACCCTGCCCAGCCCCCAGCACCCTGCCCAGCCCCCAGCGCCCTGCCCAGCGCCCTGCCCAGCGCCCTGCCCAGCGCCCTGCCCAGCCCCCAGCGCCCTGCCCAGCGCCCTGCCCAGCGCCCTGCCCAGCGCCCTGCCCAGCGCCCTGCCCAGCCCCCAGCGCCCTGCCCAGCCCCCAGCGCCCTGCCCAGCGCCCTGCCCAGCGCCCTGCCCAGCCCCCAGCACCCTGCCCAGCCCCCAGCGCCCTGCCCAGCCCCCAGCGCCCTGCCCAGCCCCCAGCGCCCTGCCCAGCCCCCAGCGCCCTGCCCAGCGCCCTGCCCAGCGCCCTGCCCAGCCCCCAGCGCCCTGCCCAGCCCCCAGCGCCCTGCCCAGCGCCCTGCCCAGCGCCCTGCCCAGCGCCCTGCCCAGCCCCCAGCGCCCTGCCCAGCGCCCTGCCCAGCGCCCTGCCCAGCCCCAGCCCAGCCCTGGCCAGCGCCCTGCCCAGCCCCCAGCGCCCTGCCCAGCGCCCTGCCCAGCCCCAGCGCCCTGCCCAGCGCCCTGCCCAGCGCCCTGCCCAGCCCCCAGCGCCCTGCCCAGCCCCCAGCGCCCTGCCCAGCGCCCTGCCCAGCGCCCTGCCCAGCGCCCTGCCCAGCCCCCAGCGCCCTGCCCAGCCCCCAGCGCCCTGCCCAGCGCCCTGCCCAGCGCCCTGCCCAGCGCCCTGCCCAGCGCCCTGCCCAGCGCCCTGCCCAGCCCCCAGCGCCCTGCCCAGCCCCCAGCGCCCTGCCCAGCCCCCTGCCCAGCGCCCTGCCCAGCCCCCAGCGCCCTGCCCAGCGCCCTGCCCAGCGCCCTGCCCAGCCCCCAGCGCCCTGCCCAGCCCCCAGCGCCCTGCCCAGCGCCCTGCCCAGCGCCCTGCCCAGCCCCCAGCGCCCTGCCCAGCCCCCAGCGCCCTGCCCAGCGCCCTGCCCAGCGCCCTGCCCAGCCCCCAGCGCCCTGTCCTCCCCTCCTCCTGTGTTCAAGCTCCTGAATTGCAGCCAGAGAGCACCCCTCAAGTGCATCTTCAGAGCTGGCTGTTTTTGTAAGTTAAGTTGTGTTAGTTGTTTCGTAATAATAATTTGGTCACTTCAATCCCCGACTGTTTGTGGGGATGCTGATGTGCCAAATGGCTGCAGTGTTTTGTCCACAAAATATACACAGTCAATTCCACTTTACATTGGATCCATGGTGAGAGAAAAGTGAGTTAACGTTTCAGGTCGATGAACAAAGGTCACTGGGAAACACTCAGCAGGTCAGGCAGCATCTATGGAGAAGGGATTTGAATGTAAGGATCCAGAATGTCCTTACGTTCAATCTAGAAAAGGTTTATTCCCAACTCTGAACCTTCAGCATTCACAGGCACAAGAGGCACAAGACTACTTTGGAGAGATTGCCGTCCCTTGAGATTGCCCAATCAGTCTCCGCCTTGCCCTTGCTACTTTTCATATAACTGTAGTGTTCTTACATTCAAATCCCTTCTCTCCATAGATGCTGCCTGACCTGTTGAGTGTTCCCAGCAACTTCTGTTTTTGTTTCAGATTTCCAGTATCTGCAGCATTTTGCGTTTTCCACTTTACAGTATATTCTGTGAAGCGCTTGAGACGTCTTGAAGACTGATAAGGCGCTGTATATCAAATACAAAAATTATTATTATATTGTTATTATTTGGAGTACCTCCAGTTTGTCTGAATTTTGAAAATCTTCATAGAAAGTGCAACAGAAGGAGAATGAAAAGATGGTGGAAATAAATGCCCTTCATAGGCATAATCTATAAATTATAATATTTGCACACATCCATCTATATCAACCATCTAATTAAATAGAAAGATGGCAGGTGATGTTACTGCAGAAAAGGGTGAGTTTGTACATTGTGGGTGGAAGAATAGGGAGAGGAAAGGAATGGTAAAATTTAAAATGACTTAAAGAACAGAGAGATGTAGCATTTAATGTACATAAACCTTTAAACTTTGGGAGGTTTGTGGACAAAGCTGTGAAGAAACCAATGGCATTTTGGCCTAAAATATAAAGCCAAGTAAGTGATGCTTATATAACCTGTATTATTATTAACTGGTTGGTTAGACCAGTTAGAATATTGTGTCCACTTTTAGTTACTCTAGGAAGGATGTTACGCTGTGAAGATGAGATTTGCTAGAATGAAAATAGGGATGAGGCATTTGACCTATGAGTAGAGAACGGAGCAGCTAGGTGTATTGTCGCTGAAACAGAAGGTTGTGGGGAAACCCAATTGGGGTAAGTAAAATGATGAGGGGTTTTACAAGCCAGTAGGGAGAAATTTCCAAAAACAAAATACTGCAGATGCTGGAAATCTGAAACAAAAGCAAAGAGAGCTGGGAAAACTCAGCAGGTCAGGAAGCATCTATGGAGAAAGGAAAACCACAAAACTCGGGAGAAGAAGGGTGTTAATAGTGCAGTTTTGTTTCAATCCACACCCCCTTTTGTCTTACGCCACTGTTACCTCTTTAACCCATCAATTAACACATTCTCTACTTTGTTGTTTTTTTTTGTCTTTGTCATCCTTGTCCTGCCTCCCCCCCTCAACTTGTCCTTAAAAAACTCTCCCTCCCAACATGCCACAGTTGTGACGAAGGGTCATGGACCCGAAAAGTTGACTCACTTTTTTCTCCATAGATGCTGCCTGACCTGCTGAGTTTTCCCAGCTCTCTTTATTTTTTGTTTGGGAGAAATTTCCATTTAGTGGGTCAGTGACTAAAGGGCATTGGTTTAGAATTATGGGGAGATTATGATTTTTTTTACGCAGAATTGTTAGGAATGTCCTGTTAGAACCTGAGGAATTCATAGCACAGAAGGCCATTCGGCTAATCTAGTTCTCTTTTGAAGGTAACATTTTTCCAAATCTCCTCTTTGCTCCCTTGCGAACCATCTTAAATTGATGTCTAGTCACTGACTTACTGTCTGAGAAATCAATTTCTCTTATCAAAGCCCCAAATAATTTTGAAACCTCTAGATCCATATTAATATTCAAGAGGTAACTGGAGAGCTAAATTTGATATAGGTAGTTGTGCTTCAATAGATGAGTTTTGGGGCACAGCTGAGTCTGCTAAAAGACTTCGCCAGCCTGGCTCTATTGCAGCAAATGAGTCTCTGATACAGAGAGGATTCATCAACACAAAAGGTTTTTCTACAGTACTTTCATTCTTGCTCGACGTTTGGTCAGAGTGGGGATATTCTCTCCAGACTTTACTTTCCCCTTTAACCTTTCCTCAGCACTTGGATACTGAACTAAATCTGCCTGTACCCAGAACCCAGCCCCCAGCTCGGGTGCAAATCCTCAACTGTTCATCACTTTGGGATATCCTTCTGACGTGAAAGGTGCTAAATAAATCCAACTTGTTGTTATATCATAGACCAAAAGATACAAAAGCCTTGATTCAATAATTGATTCTGAAATTGACTTTAAGGGTTTAGGTCTAATTAAGATAATGATTCATCTGCATTTTCACCTCAGCAAATTCTTCCTGATGGACTGAGATTGCTTTGAATTCACTAATGACACTCCTGGCACCATATTTTAAAAGCCAGAATGTGCCTTGTTTCTCCCTGCCAGCACTATCCCTGCATCGTGAAGTTACCTGACTGCCCCTAGGCCATCTGGGAGCTTGGGAGTACTTTGTAATTTAAAACAATCTCAACAATTTCTTTTCTTTTAATAGATGCTCTTTGGTCTATTTTGGGGCTGATGTAGACCTTCCATTTCAAGCCTGCTTGCCTCCTGCATGCTTGCAGTCATGAAGGTTACATAGATCTCAAAACTGATTAGTTGATGTCAGCTGCCCTCCAACTTGAATTTTTTTAGAAAGTGCCTCCACTAGCTTTTTTGGAGTAAATCCACAGGCTTAATCTTTAATCTGATTCCGTCCAGGAATCAAACCCGGGTCCTCTCGCTTGTAGGCAAACACACTAACCACTATGCTACAGTGGTAGTTACTGGTGCAAAAGTTGTAACATTTTCACCAGCAGGTGAGGGGAGGACAGGTTTTGAGAATTTTGGAGTCAAAGGTAAGTTGCAGAGGTAGGTTGGAGATCAATATAGCTGTTGTAGGGATCTTCAGTTTCAGCTATAGTTTAGTTTGGCATTGCCTGAGAATCTGAAACTGTGACCAGTTACATCTACAGCCAGTTTTGCTGAACAAGATGAGTATTGTGAAATCCCACAGTGTTATAACTGATACTGCATAAACTCAGCCGAATAAAGAAAGTATTGCCTGGAGTACCTGAAACAGAATATTGCCATTGCCTTGTGACCAGGGGAAACCTGAATACATATTAGGACTGTTCCATTTTTGTACATTAAACCTCTTTTTGTAAAAATAGGTGATGCATGTAGCAGCCTTGGAAACTCTTCTGCTGTGTGCAAACATTAGAACCTGCTTTACATCTAAGATTAGTGTCAGTGTGCTCGCCACAGGAGGCAATGTTGGCAGCCGATTGCATTGAGGGAAGATGAGCAAAGTTCAGTATTAGAATTATGCTTTTGTTTTAAAATCCAGTTCAGAATTCTCAGGAGTGTTTTGTGCATACATGGGTGTATGCTTTATGCATGTTTAAGCATGTGAGGATTTGCTCCTAATTGGTCATGAGTTTGTAATAATGCTTGAGGCAGGACATTCTTGCAGGAATCTCTCAAAGTGTAGATGGATCTAAAAATTGCAGATAATGTTTCAGTGCTTAAAAGGGTTCATCTTCAGTGGGAACCACCTTCAATTTTATGTAGTTTGGCCAAGTTAGTGATGTGATTGATAATTTTGCTTGCATCATGTGTGTTCACACATTTTGCTATGTAGTTGTGCCATGAGCTGAAGCTGACAATTGGCCACTAGAACGGCAAACAACAACAAATTACATTTGCATAGCGCCTTTCACTTCAGGAGGACATCCCAAAGAGCTGGACAGTCAGGGATCTGAGCCTCTGAAATGGTTCAGCCCGGACTGTTCTATTCACGTTCCCACATTGAACCTCTTTCCCCCAAACATTCCATAGTTCCAAAATATGTCACACACCTTCCAGGCAAATTCCATCAATTTGTTTTTTTTGTTCACTTTGTTTTATTCCAGGAATGAGCAGATGCAGAAATGCTTCCCGTTTCCACATAAGTCTCCTTCCCTACTGCGTCTTGTCTTACAAATGAGTCATACGATCAATCTGTGTAACATGAACTTGCCAAATGGTGCTGGGTATTGTTGCATTCTTTTAAATGTCATTATCTAAAGTAAGGTAAAATGCCAGCTGCAGCGTCGACAGCAGTTACTGACGTATTGAGTAGAGTTCAGTGTGGACACTGATTGGTGTATTGGCTGAGCAAACTATCCTTTCAGCTCAGACACCTGGGGTTGAATTCAGATGAAATTGACAGGGTGAAAGCGATTCTGGTTGTAAGGGCAACAAGTTCAAATCCTCGTCCTCTCCTTTCGAAGCCCTCCATGGACTTGCTCTTTCCTACCTTTGTGACCTGCTAACCTCCTATCAACCTGTCCGCTCCTTCCGCTCAGCAGGCTCTAGCCTGCTCCACATCCCCCACTCACCCCACCATCGGCTGTCAGACCTTCAGCCTCTCTGCCCCCACCCTTTGGAACTCCATCCCACAGTACCCTGCCTTGCTTCCTCTCTTGTCTCCTTCAAGGCACGTATTAAGACTCTTCTTCGACCACACCTTCAGCCACCCTACTGCCTTCCATCCCCTGCTGATTCCAACCCCCAGTTCGGGTCCAAAGCTCTGGCTGTCCAGCGCCTTGGGATGTCTTCCCGAAGTGACTGGCAGTTTATACATGTAATTTGTTGTGGTTGTGAAAGAGCCCATACTTTAGCACTTTATTGGCACTAAATTGTCATTTCACACATGTCACGTGTTTATTGCAGGAAATGGAAATGTACACTAGGTGCTGTTGGAGATGCTCTGATGTTAGGAATAATGCTTTACTTTGGCAATGGGACCTAACGCTTCATGATGGGATTTCCCTTTGTTCTCGATCACAAAGAAACTTGCCACATAATTTATGGAGAGAGGAAAATGAGTTAACGTTTCAGGTCAATGACCAAAGGTTGCCGGGATCACTCAGCAGGTCAAGCAGCATCTATGGAGAGAAGGGATTTGAATATAAGGACTCTTCCCTTCCAGATCCTTACATTCAAATCCATTCTCTTCATAGATGCTGCCTGACTTGCTGAGTGTTCCCAGAGAATTCTGTTTTAATTTCAGATTTCCAGCATCTGCAGTGTTTTACATTTTGCCACATAATTTTGCAGTTTCCTGTAATTTCCCAACTGTCCTGTCTGTGCAACTTGTTCTGTGTAGTGTTTTACCATCCTCCTGTCGTGAAAGATGTTAATATAAATGTGCCCTTATAAAATAGTATAGCCAGTGTTCTTACCCTCTTGCAAGCTGTAACTTGGACATTGTAAAATGAAGAATATGTAGTGGTATTAGTGCTCCTTCTGTCAAATTGGCTCATTTGGTGGTGCACTTGCCTCTGGGTCAAAAGGTTGTGACTTCAAGATTGGGACTTGAGCTCATAGTGGTGCTGATATACCAGGGCAGTAGTAGAAAAACTCTACATTGCTGGAAGCGTTGTCTTTTGAATTAAACTGCTGCTACATTTGCCTACAATCACTACACGTGATTGCAATTGCCAGTAAGGAGTTCTTTTTCGTTGTGACACACTGTTAAATGCAAAGTTTATTTGATAATAATCGCTGCATCTGATATAATAATAAATAATAATCCTTGCATTTGATATAGCATCTCATCACGTGGTGGAGACGTCTCAAAGCGCTTCACAGAATATTTTGTAAAGTGTAGTGATTGGGTATTTTGTAGGTGAAATGAGACAGCCAATTGCACAAACAGTCGTGGATTGAGTGACCAAATTATTTTTTTATTATTATACACCTACCTGAACAACAGAAGGGACTTTGGTTTAACTTCTCAGCTGAAGGATAGTACTTCCAACATTGCAGCCTCCGACCCGCAGCACTATAGTGTCAGCTTACACAGTGAGTTCCAAGTCCCGAAAAAGTTGATCCTGGCAAAAATTGCCCCTTCTTCCCTATCAATACAGTCTGTAGTCTGGAACTGGCAGAATGAGGTCAGACCTTGGTTTCTTAATCACATTAGCTTAGCACTCCATTGGTGCAATGTTTGAAGTCGGTAGTTTAGATGCAACGTGATGCGTAAGACATAATCTTTCTGCTCCGACAGCAAGTCTTACCCTGACCTTCAAGTAGCTGAACAGCTTTCTCGGGTCAGGTTTCCTTTGGAATAAATAGTAGTGTGACCTGTCGTCAACAAAACGTTACCACCTACAAATGGTCTTTTAACCTGCCTCTTTTAAATGGTCTCTTTTCTGCCACCCTTAAATTGAGAATACAGTAAAGATTAATCAAACTAGTGTTTCTATCTGAGGAATATCAAAACTCAGTAGTGAATGTGTAGGAGTTTTAATTTTTGGAGCTTTTCTCATGGCAGGGGTAGCGGGGAGAGGCTAGCTGGTGTACTTACTGAGCCCATCAGTACAAGGGAACTTAAGACATGCCTAAAATAATGTACTCTTCATTGTAATAGTCGTTTTTTTAACTCCTTCCTGCAAGTTCCTCTGCTCCTGAAGTAATGGCTGTTTAACTAAGTGTTCAAAAATATGGGGTAGAAGGCCCAGGGCCTGATTAAATCCACTTTCGAGACAATCCTTCCACTCCACCTCCCTGTGTATGCATACACAGCTCCCCTGGTGCTGGACATTCCTCTCCTAGGTTAAGAAGTTTGTTGTTGAATATTTCTCAAATTATGTTTCAGCTCTTGGTGGTCCCATGTTGAAATGGGTCCCCCGGATCCTATCCTTGGAGTGACTGAAGCTTTCAAGCGTGATACCAACTCTAAGAAGATGAATTTGGGTGTGGGTGCATACCGTGATGATAGTGGCAAGCCATATGTCTTGAGTTGTGTGCGAAAGGTAAGTTAGTGGTTTGTGGGTGATGTTAGAGAAATTGAAATTGTCAGCTTTGTTGTGCCTATCTTAGAGAAGGCTGTCAGAGGAGTTACTAGCTTTTCAAAGCAAACGGTTGGCTAATCCAACCAATGTACAGAGGGTCCAAATTCCTGACTGTCCAGTGCCTTAGGATGTCCTCCCGACATGAAAGGTGTGGTGTAAATGTAATTTTGTATTGTAATGTATAACTTACTACTTTAGTATCTGTGGGGACTGAGTCCTTTAGCTTTGAATCCAATCTGAGCTCTGAAATTCTACCTAATCTTAGATTGCAAGACCAGTTTGTGTTCAAATTTGCGAAGTGGCAAAGTTATTGAATTGAATCTCAATTTAGAAGTCTATTCCTGCAGTTCTTAAAGAACCAGCTTCCCAATTTAAATTGAATTGGAAAAATGTTCACAAATCTGTAAGGTGTAAAATTTTATGGCAAAATTGTCTTGTATGTCAAGGCTGGGTCAATATCTGATTTTCTGCAGCCAGAAATTCCCAGGCTTTATTCTGTCTTAATTGGTTTTCAGTAATTTTTTTAAAAAAACTACAGAAAACTGGCTTCAGAATTGAACCCAGTTTAAGAATTTCAGAATTCAGCATGACCTGAAAACTGAGGACAGTAGTGTTGTGGCTAAAATCATAGAATATTACAGCACAGAAAGAGGCCCATTGTGTCTGTGCCAGTACTTTGGGGTAGAGTGTACACAATCAGTCACACTCCCCACTTTTTCCCCATATCCTTACAAGTTTTTTTTCTTTTCAAGTACCTTTTCAAATTAAATGGTATTTCAGATCCCTCTAGTGAAGATTCTTACTAAATGATTCTTACTATTAGCTCTCAGCTCTGAATTGTAAATACATGATGTTCTCACTACAATCTGTAAAAAATCACACCACAATTTAAAAAAAACTCATTGGATTCAACTGATGATGGAATCAAGGTCTTGCTCACGAGGCGAGAAATGGGAGCTGGGAGGCTTAGTGAATAAATCAGAATAAATACATTCTACCCCAAATCTCTAGAAATAATTCTTCAGCATATTTCAATTTTCTTGTTTAAAAGCCTGGCTGGTCCAACCAAAAAAAGCTTGCTCAGATAATCGATTGAAGTCAGTATCTGTCCAGCAGTTTCTGTTCTGGGCAGTGGGTTGCTCAAATATAAGTTAAAGGCGGTGTACCAGCTAGCACGTTAACAAACCAGGTAATTGAAGACTTTCTTATCCAGGAATAGAAATTCTCATGCTTTTAATCACTCCTTTTGAGTGGTACTTTAGATTAGATGTGTGAATGTGTTTTTATCTCCCCCCCGAAACCACACCATGATATATTGTGTTTATATTTACCTGTATCTACAGTGTAGCTGGACATGAATGACAGCATCTGATGACTTGATTTAATTTTAACAGGCTGAGGCAAAAATTGCAGCTGACAAGTTGGACAAGGAGTATCTCGCCATTGGTGGGCTGGCAGAGTTCAACAAGGCATCAGCAGCATTGGCCCTAGGAGAGGCTAGCGAAGTCATTAAGAGTGGGAAGGTAAGGAGGTGATATTCTTTCTATTCTGTGATGGATATGGACAGGTGCTGAATGGTAGAGCCTTGGGACGTCCTCCCGACGTGAAAGGCGCTCAATAAATGGAATCTTGTTGTTGTTGTAGAGAGGTTAGCAGTCAAAAGGATCTGGCCAGTGAAGGTAGGTTAAGACAGATTGAATGTTTGTGTGGTAAATTCATTGTTATGGACCTCAGAAAAATATCACAGAATGGAAAGAAGCTATTCAGTCCATATTTCTCCATGCGTGCCAGTCTAATCCCTCTCACCTATTCACTCCCCAAACCCTTTAACATTCCTCTTCAGGCACCTAGTTAATTTTTGAAAACATAATTTGATGGATTCTCTTGCAACTAGCTATTTGTGGTAGAGATTTTTTTTCTCCTTCTTCAAAACCTCCAACAGATCCTTCTCAGCTGTAGTGAACCCTCAGCCTCATATTGGGCCATAATGCAGAATAAAATGAATAGCTGAGGTCTCATCTCATCTGCCTTTTGTGGTGAATGTTAAATATTATGACACACTATTGAAATGACACAAATTGAAGGGAGTCTGAAGGGAAAACCAAGAGTCCTGGCCAACAATCTCACAATTAACTCATTGTTGTAGTACTTTGCTCTGTGAAGAACGGATGCCAGGTTTGCCTACAAAATCAATTCCTGTGACGCACTTAGATGTTTTGATGTTATAAAGGCAGTATCAAAATGTAAATCATTCAATCAATATTTATTGACAATATGTGGGTTATTCGGACAAGCAGCATGGGTTTGTAGAAAGAAGTTTAACGAATTTAATGTAGCTCTTTAAGGAAATAAAGTGTTTTTAAGGAAAGGCATTTTGTATATGAATTTTGAAACGGCCTTCAGTAAGGTCCACATAGGAGGCTGTTGAAAAAAGATGAACACAACACATTGTGGCAGCACTGATAGAAAGCTGAGTACAGGAAATAAATCAGTGGGCACAATTGGATGTTTTTCAGCCAGTAGGAATGTAAGCTTGTGGGTATGTGGCTAATGTAAGGTTTTCAGTGAGGTGGCACAGGAACAATGGGCCAAATAACCAGCTTCTGTGCTTTAAAAATTCTACAATTCTACCAAAGATTCTTCCTATAATCCCATATTCTCCCATTCTAATTGTGAAACGTTAGTGATTGGTCACTCACTCCTTGGTGGTTTGTTGGACATTGTGTGCAACTGGCTGCCACATTTAGTTCACAAAATACACAAACAATTGTGCAATGTCATGCAGCCATGGAGTGAGTTAATCAAGCACTGAAACGCCTTGATGACGTGAAAACCATCACGAAAAACTGCCATCACGAAAAAAATTATCAAATGCAAAGATTATCATCATTATTAATATGCAGTGTGTATTATTGCCATTGTCAGTATTTTCCTGATGCATGGCCATTAACCGAGCTTTGTTGTGCTTTCTTTGCTCTAGTACATCACCGTGCAGACCATCTCTGGAACCGGATCCCTGCGGATCGGTGCCAGCTTTCTGGTGAGTATTAGTGGTGCTCGCAGGAACCCATTTCATGCTGCTCTTGTTGTCCTAACATGTCAACCTGAGAGTAAGCACAGGCTAGGTGGGTGGGATTCCCTGCTACCTCCAAGTCAATCAAGGCCCAACTAATGCAGTTGAAAGCGTGAGTTTGACCTAATAGCTGAGGTTTATCTGATGAATAAGCACCTTGTTCTCTGTACGGTGGTGGATTGATTTTCTGAATCAAAACATAGAGAACTCAAAGGTGTCTTCCAAGTTACAGGCATTTAAACAAGTTTGTTTCCATTTTCAGACGGATTATTGATGTAATTAGAGTGCCTGTTATCACAAGCTTTGTTATAGTGCTAGTTAGGGTTAGCTTATAATGTGAATGGCATTGGACCCATTTCCTTGTTGGGGGGGAGGTTATAAAGTGGGGTTTATATCCCACTTTGCATTCTATTTATATCCCACTTATCCCATCAACCCCCCCCCCCCCCCTTGTGTGCGTGGTGGGGGGAGAGTGCAATTCAGGAGCACTATGGGCTATTCCCTTGAGTTCAGAATGTTGAGGGATGATCTGATTGAGGCTTTTAAAATAAAGGGATTCGATAGGGTAGATACAGAAACTATTTCCTCTGGTGGGGAAATCCAGAACGGGGGGGGGGTGCATCATCTTAAAATTACAGCTAGGCCATTTAGGAGTGAAATCAGGGGCAGTTTTTCGTCCAAAGGGGGGTGGAAATCTGGAACTCTCTCCCCAGAAAGGCTGTGTATGTTGAATCCATTCACATTTTCAAGATTGAGGTGGGTAGATATATGTTAGGTTATCAAGGGATATGGGACAAGGGCGAGTAATTGGACTTGAGGTACAGATCAGCCATGATCTTATAGAATGACGGAACAGGCTGGAGGGGCTGAATGGCCTACTCCTGTTCCTATGTTTCTACATACAATGTGGTGTTCCTGTTTTGCAGCAAAGGTTCTACAAACACAGTAAAGACGTCTACCTGCCCAAACCGTCCTGGGGCAACCACACACCCATCTTCAGAGATGCTGGTTTGGAGCCCAAAAGCTACCGTTACTACGATTCCAAGACTTGTGGTTTTGACTTCAAAGGGGCACTGGAGGACATTACAGTAAGTCTGTGCTTTACCCATTTCTTGTGTGTTAGTCAGTCAGGTGGTCATCAATGTTTTGTAAACCTGGCTTTGCTAGAAAAGACTTACATTCCAGTTTACTATTTGCACCAGAATCGTTTTGTAATGATGGCGTTTGATCGCTAGCCCAGAATTCCTTTCAATATGTTGACAATACGCAGGAGAGGGTACAGAGCCTACAAAGCATTCCCCTAAACGTTGTAAAGCTATTTGTTTTCTCTGTTATTTTGGTTCATGTGGATTGCTGGCTCATGCTTGGAACTCCTGTCCACGAGTTGCACTGAACATGCAAGTGGTGTCAGTCTGGCTCACTTGGTAACACTCACACTCAAGTCAGAAAGTTATAGGTTTGTATCATCCAGGCTGAACCTCCAATGCAGTGGTAGGAGTATGTTGCATTGTTGGAGGTGCCGTCGTTTGGATGAGACGTTAAGATGGAGCTCAGATCTGCCTGTTCAGGTGGACGTTCAGGATCCCATGGCATTAATTCAAAAGAGAAGGGAGTTTCTCCCCGTGTCCTGGCCAACAGTCCCCCAGATAAAATTGGTTATTCTGTATAGCTGTTTGAGGGACATTGCTGTATGCAAATTGGCTGCCATGTTTCCTGCAAATATAGTCCCTGCACTTTACAGTAAATCCTGTGAAGTGATTTGAGAGATTCTCCAGATGTGAAAGATGCTAAATGTAAGGATTATTATTTCTAGGTTCTTTCTTTTGAACTAGTTCACCACAGCTGTCTTATTCTGGGAACTATTCATAGGATTGCACAGAGATAATTCTGCTCCGGATCAAAGTGGCAGGAAATTTATTTCGTAGCAGCAACATGTGTGTTTATATTTACACTTTGGTAGGATACATGGGACGGGATATTTTAAACCCAATGAATTTTTTCACATCTCTCCCTTACAGAAATTACCTGAAAAGAGCATCATCCTATTTCATGCCTGTGCTCACAACCCCACTGGAGTCGACCCAAAGCAAGAACAGTGGAAGGAGCTTGCTGCCGTGGTCAAAGTAATGATACGCTGAATGAATCAATTGATTGTAGTTTAGAATTTGCAGCCAGTGCTTGTTACTAGGCCAGCCTTGAATTAGAAGCTGAGCCGTGCTGTTTCCTATGTAATGTCATAATAATAATAATTGATTAATCATAGAGTCATACAAAAAGAGGCCATTCGGCCCATCAAGTCTGTGCCGGTTCTTTGAAAATTAATATAATAATGTCGACACTTATCCATAAAGTAGAAAATGTATAGCAATTGGAATTCACAAATGTGTCAAATAGTAAATCTTCATTAGCTACTGCCTTTGTCAATGGATGGTTTCAAAATAAATCACAATGTGAAATTGATCATTTTCTTTATTTTGTTCAGCAAAGAAATCTGTTCCCATTCTTCGACATGGCATATCAGGGCTTTGCCACCGGAAATACGGACAGAGATGCTTGGGCTGTGCGTCACTTCATAGAACAAGGAATTAACTTGGTGCTGTCTCAGTCCTACGCCAAGAACATGGGGCTTTACGGTGAGTAACGCCCTGGGGGAGGGCTGTGGGAGGGTGGGGGGAGAGATGCTTAAAATGTGAAAGGGATGGAAAGTTTTGAAAGTGAAGTCTATGCTCAGAGATGTCTATAGGTCCTTGTAGCATTTCAGTAAGCAGGAGCGATACTCTGATCTGGACAGCTCTACTACAAACTACAGCATTACAAACATATTTCCTCCCTCTAAGCAAGCATAATGAGGCTGGGGGTATTGTGTGTGCAGAGCCTTGTGCAGGAGAGAACTTGAACTGCAGTTGAATTGGATCAATTGAAGTTTCTGGAGAATTCTCCCACACAATGCACAGTCAATCCACTTTACATTATATTCTGTGAAGTACTTTGAGACATCTCAACATGATTATGTGCTATATCAAATGCAAGGATTATTATTGTAATGGAGCTAGAGACTTGGTGAGAACAGCATTAGAAACGTCAATTGAAAAGCTGTTGGAAGCATGGCTGAATATAGCAGCAGTGATGGGGTGAGTGAGGTAAGGGCATATGCAGGCAATGTTATGGAGGTGAAAGATAATGATCTTAGCAATGGACAGGCGTGATGTTTGAAATTCAGCTCAGGACATAACCCTATTAGAGACCTGAGTTCAATTCCAGACAGGGCGAAACCTTGGGCAAGTTTCCTTACTCCACACAGAGCCTAATAATAATCCCTCCAAAACCAAAAACAATAATAAATTGGTCGTTTTCAATCTACGACTGTTTGTGGGACATTGCTGTGCGCAATTGGCTGCCGCGTTCGCCCACAAATATACAGTCAATTCACTTTACAGTGTGTTCTGTGAAGCGCTTTGGGACGTCCTCCCGACGTGAAAAGCGCTATATCAAATGCAAGGATTATTATTATTATTAAATATCTTCTGGCTTCACCGTGCGTGGTTTCTGGTCAAACATAGCTACCTGGAGAGGTGTCAGAAGGTTGTGGGTTCAAGCCCCACGTCTGGGATTGGAAGTTGGTGTGGACTTGAACTCGAACACTGTACTGTCCTGGCAAATTCTCTCCAGCTCTGAAGACAGTCAAGCAGACACCCAAGAGAGCTAAGCCAGCTTGATATGGAGGAGCTGCTGGCTTGTGGATAGCTTGGTCATTGTACGTGTCCTCAGCTTGGTGTTTAGTTGCCTCAGCCTTGGCTGCTCCGTAGCTTTCTTTTGAGTAGCTGATGTGTGTTAACACTTGAACCATGTTGATTATTTGTCCTTTCAGGTGAGCGTGTGGGCGCCTTCACAGTGGTCTGCAATGACGTGGACGAGGCAAAACGAGTGGAATCCCAGCTGAAGATTCTAATCCGCCCCATGTATTCCAACCCACCCATGAATGGGGCTCGCATTGCGACCACGATCATGAATATCCCAGATCTCAGAAAAGAATGGTGAGTAAGGGTTAAACCACGCCGGCCCCCACTTCTGTCCAACACTCCAGCTAACTTTTAAACAAGTGAGTGTCCTTCAATTATTGAGGTAGCTACTCTCTGCTCGGCTCTCAGGAACATAACTATAGCAGCTTTCAATAGCAGAGCATTGAGCTGCACTGTGTTCCTGCAGTGTTGGGGGGGGGGGGGGGGGCTGTGGTGGGAGGTAGGAGGGGAGAGAGTTGCTTGTTTGGAGAATGAGATAACAGTGAGGATATAGTTTCCCCACCCCAATGACGTGTGAAAGTAAAGATGTCAGGATATAAAGGGTTATGACAGAATAACCATTAGCCATTATTTTCACTGTCAGCAGCCAGAGGGAGAGCACATAAAATAACCATGAAAGGAAGTCATGTGGTTGGAAACATTACCTTTATGCAGGCTGGTCGAATGCGGAATTGTCTACCACAAACTTTAGTTGAAGCACAGTCTGTCAATTCTTTTAAAAATAAATTGAGATAGACGCTTGAAGAGTAGGAATATTTAAGGGAGTGAGGGAGCGAGCAAGAGAGTGGTATTACACTTGATGGTTTGTGTGGAGAAACACCAGTGCAGATTTGAGTCAGAATGGCCTGTTTGTATGATCCTGGGAAACATGGTTGAGATTGTGTTCCTAGATCGATCACTCCATAATATAGGGTCAGTGTTTCCAGTATACTTGCTTCAAATAATGCAACGCGAACTATGCAGAACTCCCAAGTGGCTTGAGACATCAGCACTGAAACTGAGAATTTATCAGGTGAGAGAGGCATTCGAGAGTGGATTCAACACAAATACTTGTCGAGCATCAATGCTATTGGAGAGTGCACTTCCAGAGCACTAGGGAGGTGCAGCACAAACAATGGGCAGGCCCAGTCTTCAAACCGAATCTCATGCGATTGTCAAATGGTCTGAGTGAGTAGCATGGCAGATAAACTGGTACATCGAACTTGTCTGGTATGATGTCCTTTTAAACCACGTTTCCTCAAGTGCTGTATCAGTGATCAGCCAGAGTAGGTGTGACTCCAGGGTTAAGCTCATGTGACTGTGATGTGCTTTGGTTGCTATGTGGAGACGGCACAGTGGCAAATGCACAATCACTCGTTTATTTCACTTGGCAGATGTTGCTTATTTCTGAAAGTAGGAAAACAAACCAATGTGTGTAATATATGTATTATATAAGGGATGGATCATTCATCGAATGAGTCTTTTCTGTAGTCTTGTATTTGCAGTGAATATTTAGCCCTGAATTTGCTGTTTATCATTACCCCAGGTTTTCTTTTGAAACCTAGCAAATAGCATTGGAGAACAACTTGTTCTTTGGTAAATTTACAAAATATAAACAACAACAAAATGACATTTATAGAGCCTGGTGCGTGAGAGTACATGAGCTGCAGAGGTTTGGATGATCTGCAGTTTGTGGAGGGAAGAGTTGTGAAGCCGATGAGGAGGGAGTTCCGTAATCGAGCCTTGAGGTGATGAAGGTGTGGGTGGGGGTTTGGGGGCTGAGGGGTGAGGCAGTGGCGGAGTCTGGCAATGTTGCGGAGGTGGTGGTAGGCAGTGCTGGTCATGGCGCGGATGTGGGGGAGAAAGGACAGTTCAGGGTCAAGACTCCCAGGTTCCTGACCGGCTCAGTGAGGTTGAGAGTGCAGCCGTGGAGGCTGATGTTGCCAGTACCTGAGGTGCGGAGGCGCTGGCACGAACCAATCAGGAGGTCCTTGGTCTTGTATATTTACTGTTCCAGAATTTCCAGGATTCTTCCAGTGGATTTAAATCTCATGATCAGAATCCTCTACACACCCTCCCTGAGCTTCGGAGAGTTTGGGTTTTGCTGAGCTGTGTTAATTGGTTTATAGAGGGCAGAGTTGATCTGGAGTGTCTGCCTGATTCACTGTGTTTCACTCACATAAATCTGAGGGTACCTTGTTGGTCAAGGATTTCAATTCTATATAAACTTTTCTTTCCACTACAGGCTTGGGCTATGGAATGAGCTATGGAAATCTGTGCCTCAGAGGCCACTTTGTATTGCCCAGTGTTTTGGTAGTGAGTTAACTCCCCTGTTTAAATATATCTTGCTTCCTCTCTTGCCTCCCTCTCTCCCCCCACCCACCCCCACTCACCCCTCCACTCGAGCAGGTTAGAGGAGGTGAAGGGAATGGCCAACCGCATTATCAGTATGAGAGAGCAGCTGGTGTCCAACCTGAAGAAGGAAGGCTCCATTCACAACTGGCAGCACATCATTGACCAGATCGGAATGTTCTGCTTCACTGGCCTCAAGCAAGAGCAGGTACTCGACAATAAGTCTTCACTGGGAAGTAACGGGTGTCCTGGATGAGCTAGAAAAGGATGCAGTTTGCTTCTATAGTTGGTCAAGCTAGTACCCTACGTGAGACAGCCAGTTAGGCTCACAGCCTCACAATCTGTGCTGTCAGCTAATCTAATCTGGAAAAATCACAGTAATGCTACATTTTGGCCTTGCACCATGGTCGAGAGTGAATTGTCACCTGCGTTTGACCTATTTCGACTCATAGAATTGTACAGCACGGAGGGAGGCCATTCGACCTATAGTGTCTGTGCCGCTCTTTGAAAAGAGCTTCCAAATCAACCCCACTCCCCCACTCTCTCCCCATTGCCCTATTCAACCCCACTCCCCCGCTCTCTCCCCATAGCCCTGATCAACCCCACTCCCCCGCTCTCTCCCCATAGCCCTGATCAAGCCCACTCCCCCGCTCTCTCCCCATAGCCCTGATCAAGCCCACTCCCCCGCTCTCTCCCCATAGCCCTGATCAACCCCACTCCCCCGCTCTCTCCCCATAGCCCTGATCAACCCTACTCCCCCGCTCTCTCCCCATAGCCCTGATCAAGCCCACTCCCCTGCTCTCTCCCCATAGCCCTGATCAAGCCCACTCCCCTGCTCTCTCCCCATAGCCCTGATCAAGCCCACTCCCCTGCTCTCTCCCCATAGCCCTGATCAAGCCCACTCCCCTGCTCTCTCCCCATAGCCCTGATCAAGCCCAGGGTGGGATTGATTTGGAAGCTCTTTTCAAAGAGCGGCACAGACACAATGGGCCAAATGGCCTCCTTCTATGCTATATGATTCTATGATACTCTAGCTGAGGCCTAACTAGTGTTTTATAAAGATTCATCATAACTTCTTGGCTTTTGTATTTTTATAAAGCCTACTATCCCGTATACTTTTTTAACAGCTTTATCTACCTGTCCTGGAAAGTTTGTGACTGAGTATTGGTGGGGTGGAGGGGGGGAATGATTGGCTCAAGCTCTGAGGGGCTCTCCTTCTGCAATCACTCGGTGTCTACACTTAGACATTAATATTGGCCACTTTGTCACTGAGCAGAGGTGGAAGGCATGTCAGCCTCAACACTTTCAGTGGGGTAACAGTGTACAGTGGTCGTTTAGTTCACATTTGAGAAGCTCCCAATCCAACAGTACTTCTGCATCTCCTACATATCAGCAGAGGCTGAAAGCCGGAGAGTGTGCTAACCAGACACAAGCTTGTGTGTGTGCGTGTACGATGATGTGAATGGAGTACAATATTAGTATCCTGGGACTTGTTTGTAATGTGTAGTTATGCAAAAATGTACAAACATTAATGTGTGCTGTTAATTAATTAATTGATGTTGCGCTGTTGAGTGGGCCTCAGTGTATCTTGTGCTGTATTTGCAGGTGGAACGTCTGATGAAGGAGTTCTCGGTTTACATGACCAAAGATGGCCGCATCTCTGTTGCTGGAGTCAGTTCTTCCAATGTGGGTTACCTGGCACATGCCATCCACCAGGTCACCAAGTAAAGCTCTGGGAAAGGTGGGGAGACGAGGACCTGACTGCTTTCTCTCCATAAATACAAGTTCACTTTCAACCCCAGTAGGAGATTGGAGAGCTGTATAGCAGTGAGATACTGTAGTGTTACTATGTGACAAATTAATAAGAAGGTCTGATATCAAATCAATCCACTTGAGTGTGTGTTTGGAGTACATGAGGCATAGCCCATCAGGAGATTGCATTTCCCTCTGTGTATAAACTGTTCCCTATTGTAGATCACTGCTCTGTGGCAGTAATATCAGCCCGTGGTTTGGGTCAGTGTGTGAACCCCGCTGGCTGGGTGTCCACCCCCAGGGTGAAGGCTGCTACTACCTCCCAGGAAAACACAATCCTTGTCCTTCAAATTTATGCTGCTTAATGTTCTCATATCTTTGTGTAGATGAGACTGTGCAGCTCTGACCTCCCCACCCTGACTAATCTGTTCATTGCCTGGTGAGCTCTGCTCCATGTCCTCTGTGTAAATCTATCCTGTTAGTGTGATTGGTCAATCCAATTGTGGGGGTGTGGGCGGGGGGTGGGGGTAAATGATTGTATTGATGTGGAATTAAACTCTAGATGTTGCGGTGCTTATACATGGTGACGTGCTGAATGTGAGTGTCGAGGCTTCGGGTCTGTCCTGTACAGCTTTGCTAACGGCTGAAACCATAACCACGATAGCAATAACTCCAGTGTTTGGGTAGTGGGGCAGTGTGTGCTGCTTACTTGATATCTTTGCTTGGATATTTGCCATTGAATGTATGTTGAGTACACCTGCTGCTGCCACTGCCGCCACCTGCTCTCTTTGTGTAATAATAATATTACCCAAATCTGTGCCAAGGAAATATGAGGAATTTCTTGTGCTTTCTTTGCAACACAGATTTGTTTGTCCAGCTGAAATAGCTCAAAGATTCCTGGTATTTTGTTTTATTTTAACATCTAACCTCTACTACGCCCTTTTTCAGACCACCGTCCGATTTTTCACATCCAGTCCCATCTCACTCCCAACGGGTCCTCCATTTACATTTGCTCTGAACTATTTCTGTTCTTGTTGTGTACATTACACAAAGGCCTGACCAATGATATAAAGTACAATTGGTCAGGTTGCTAAAGTGAGCTTTAATGCTTTAGATGCAACAAGATTGCTAGAGTGTGTGTCACTTGTTATGATGTCTAACTACGGTTGGAAGATCTGGCTGTGCTAAGTTCAAGTAACTCCTGCTGCTTACCTTCATACTCATTCTTCAATTGACATCTTGCAAGAAATTACGGTTCCTTCTGTTCAACTCGTCATTAAAATTTCTTGTAGTCAGTGTGTGGGCTCCGTTGTGCAAACTCCCAACATGGTAGAATGGATTTCACAGCGTCACCAATTGGTTTAAGTGTCCTGTCAGCTGCTGCTTTCTTATATTAACCCCCAGACTGGGGAGGCCACTGACCACACTGGGCATGATTGGGATTGTTGATGTGATGGCAAGCTCAGATCTGCCACCAGTTCACATGGTTGTATCGAAAAACATAATCTGGGCTTTACAAACCTGTACTCAGTCATTCAATAAATAATTACAGAAATTAACCAATTTATTTGTGCATTTTTATTCTTTACAGTACAATATATGGCTACGACTTAAATTCAGGAAGGTGTGGGTAGGAAGATGACCAAAGGTGTGATCAATGAGAGAGATCTTGAGACAGAACTTGAAGGAAGTGAAGGGACTTTGGGCTGTAGTTCCAGAGAGTGAGGGCAGAAAGGCTGAAGGCCCAACCTCTGATGGTGAGGTGAGCAGAGCGGGGGACATGGAGCAGACCAATTGAGCATTGAACAAGACACCAAGGTTCCACATTGGCTGTGAGGTGGGGTGACCATCTGTGTAGATTGATGCTGTCGGTGTCTGAGGTGAAGAAGCTCTGATAGGAGACAAACAACAGAGTCAACATTCATTGGAGAAAGTTAGCTCTCATCCAGGACTTGATATCCAAAAGGCAATCAGTCAGAAAAGCAGTGGGCCTGGAATTTAGTGGTGGTGGGGGTGTAGAGAGTTAAGTTTCATCTGCATACATAATAATAATACTTGCATTTAATTTCAACATTAAAGCACCTTATCAGTTCTTCAAGATGTCTCAAAAGCACTTCACAGAAGATACTGCAAAGGGAATTGACTACATTTTGTGGGTGAAACGCAGCAGCAAATTGCGCCCATCAGTGTCCCACAGTCATGGATACATGTGCATGTTAGCGCTGCGCCTGCAGGTGGCATTGCTGTTAATATTAAAGAGATAACCAAGGAGTGCTGCATGTGACTGCGGGGGTGGGAGGAGAAGCCAGTGGGACATATTTAAATCAGAATTATACAGCACAGAAGGAGGCCATTCAGCCCATCGTGTCTGTGCCGCTCTTTGAAAAGAGCTTCCAAATCAACCCCACTCCCCCCCACTCTCCCCACAGCCCTGATCAACCCCACTCTTCCCATAGCCCTGATCAACCCCACTCCCCCCCCATAGCCCTGATCAACCCCACTCTCCCCACAGCCCTCATCAACCCCACTCTTCCCATAGCCCTGATCAACCCCACTCTCCCCATAGCCCTGACCAACCCCACTCCCCATAGCCCTGACCAACCCCACTCCCCCATAGCCCTGACCAACCCCACTCCCCCCATAGCCCTGATCAACCCCACTCCCCCCCATAGCCCTGATCAACCCCACTCCCCCCCATAGCCCTGATCAACCCCACTCTCCCCACAGCCCTCATCAACCCCACTCTTCCCATAGCCCTGATCAACCCCACTCCCCCCCATAGCCCTGATCAACCCCACTCTTCCCATAGCCCTCATCAACCCCACTCTTCCCATAGCCCTGATCAACCCCACTCCCCCCCATAGCCCTCATCAACCCCACTCTTCCCATAGCCCTGATCAACCCCACTCCCCCCCCATAGCCCTCATCAACCCCACTCTTCCCATAGCCCTGATCAACCCCACTTCCCCCCATAGCCCTCATCAACCCCACTCTTCCCATAGCCCTGATCAACCCCACTCCCCCCCATAGCCCTCATCAACCCCACTCTTCCCATAGCCCTGATCAACCCCACTCTCCCCATAGCCCTGATCAACCCCACTCCCCCATAGCCCTGATCAACCCCACTCTCCCCACAGCCCTGATCAACCCCACTCCCCCATAGCCCTGATCAAACCCACTCCCCCACTCTCTCCCCAAAGCCCTGATCAACCCCACTCCCCCCGCTCTCTCCCCACACCACTGATCAACCCCACTCCCCCGCTCTCTCCCCACACCACTGATCAACCCCACACCCCCCGTTCTCTCCCCATAGCCCTGATCAACCCCACTCCCCCCGCTCTCTCCCCATAGCCCTGATCAACCCCACTCCCCCACTCTCTCCCCATACCCCTGATCAACGGCACTCTCCCCATAGCGCTGATCAACCGCACTCCTCCCCACTCTCCTGCTCTCCCCATAGCGCTGATAATCCCCACTCCACCGCTCTCTCCCCACAGCACTGATCAACCCCACTCCCCCGCTTCCTCCCCACAGCCCTGATCAACTCCACTCCCCCACTCTCCCCACAGCCCTGATCAACCCCACTCTCTCCATAGCCCTGATCAACCCCACTCTCCCCAAAGCCCTGATCAACCCCACTCCCCCATAGCCCTGATCAACCCCACTCCCCCACTCTCCCCACAGCCCTGATCAACCCCACTCTCCCCATAGCCCTGATCAACCACACTCCCCCGCTCTCTCCCCATAGCCCTGATCAACCCCACTCACCAGTTCTCTCCCCATAGCCCTGATCAAACCCACTCCCCCACTCTCCCCATAGCCCTGATCAACCCCACTCCCCCACTCTCCCCATAGCCCTGATCAACCCCACTCCCCCACTCTCCCCATAGCCCTGATCAACCCCACTCCCCCACCCTCCCCATAGCCCTGATCAACCCGACTCCCCCACTCTCCCCACAGCCCTGATCAACCCCACTCCCCCGGCTCTCTCCCCACAGCCCTGATCAACCCCACTCTCCCCACAGCCCTGATCATCCCCACTCTCCCGATAGCCCTTATGAACCCCACTCTCCCCAAAGCCCTGATCAACCCCACTCTCCCCATAGCCCTTATCAACCCCACTCTCCCCACAGGCCTGATCAACCCCACTCCCCCCGCTCGCTCCCCGTAGCACTGATCAACCCCACTCCCCCACTCCCCCCAGCCACCCCACTCCTCTCTCCCCCATAGCCCTGATCAACCCCATCCCCGCTCTCTCCCAGTCAGGTGACGTGGACGGAGTCCGTCATCAAGCGTCGTGACCGTGGACCTTTCTGGCAAAGCGTCAGGAGGTCGGCACAGACCGATGTGAGGTGGTGGGTGGGCAGGAGGGTTCCCGATCGGGGCGTCAGGAGAAATTCCCTTCTGTTCTCACATGATGTTTACCATCCACCTGAACAGCCGGGACCTCGATTTAATGTCTCATCACAGGCACCGTCAGCTCAACACAAGACGGAGCTGTGCGCTGCGGTTCGAATGAAAACAGGAGTCACTGGGTACCCGCAGCGGGTCAGACAGCATCTATGGAGAGAAGGGATTTGACCCTTCCGGGTCCTTACATTCAAATCCCTTCTCTCCATAGATGCTGAGTGTTCTCAGTGACCTTTCACCATTGACCTGAAACGTTGACTGACTTTCCTCTCCGGGCAGCTCTGAGCTGCTGTGTGAGCTGCGGAGGCTCTGGATTTCAGTCCCCGTTGTTTCCCTCTTCCCCACAGTGTCACGTGAGCGGTGTTCCTGTCTTCAACAGCATGAAGAGGGCTGAGCTGCCGCAGTGGGGACGGGTGGTCACAGCCGCTCTGATCATCTGTCTGTTTGTTTACACCGGCACAGGTCAGTGTGCACACACACTCACACACACAACACACACACACACACACACTCACACAC